ACAAAAGGGCTGAGGATACTGCCAGACTGCCTGGAGACCTCAATATCCAGGAAGAAGATTCGATCCAAGGTGAGCCAGATGCTGCTGTGTGTGAACCAGCTGAAGTGTCTCAGGAACTGCTGGAGGTACTCTGCTGTGTGATAAAACGATGAAAGTGTCATCCACAAACTGAAGATAACTGTTGCTCTCAAATCCACGAAAGCTGTACAGAACTCTATGATGATATTGGCCAGAACTGGAGATGGGGTTAATCCTGTGGAAGTTCCAGCTGACTGCTTGAAGAATTGACCTGTCCACTGGATGAAGGACGGCAGGATGTAGATGGGTAGGAGATCACAAACCTAATCCAGAGAGAGGGTTTCACACTCACACAGCTTGTCTTCATGAAGGTTTCCTGACCGAGACCTTGAGACATGCCTCACCCATGGGATTGGTGATGAATACCTGGAGTCTCCACTGAAGCTGCAAATGGCTTTGTTGGGATCACGAGTAAAGGTATTCGCAGCAGCAGCAGCAGCAGCAGCGCAGCAGCAGCAGCAGCAGCGCAGCAGCAGCAGCAGCAGCAGCAGCAGCAGCAGCAGCAGCAGCAGCAGGTGATGGTGATGGTGATGGTGATGGTGGTGGTGGTGGTGAGGGTGAGGGGGGTGGTGGCGGCCGCCGGTGGGGGTGATGGTGGGGGTGATGGGAATGGTGGGGGTGATGATCCCAATGACACCATGAGCGCAACCTCACAGTGTTCCCAACAACACCATGGTCAACCCCGATGAAGGCTACCAAATATTCACTGCCATCCCCACAGGCTACTCATGCCTCGGTGCCAAGGGGGACTCCGACTTGACTACGCCCTGCAGAAATATGAAGCCCCACACTCCAAACCAGGTTCATGATCTCCGACCCACCTACATCCTGCTGTCTTTCTTCCAATGAACAGCCAGTTGTCCAAGCAGCCTTCTGGAACTTCCACAGGATCAACTCTATCCCCAGTTTTAGTCAACGCCTTCATATAGGAGTACTGCCTTCGTAGATCTGAGACCAAGAGTTTGTCTTCAGTACAGGGATGCGACTCTCATCGCTTCATCATACAGCATGGGACCTCCAGCAGGTCCTGAAAGACTTCAACTGGATTTACAGCAGCATCTGGCGCAGTGAGGATCAGGCGCCTTGAATCTCATCCCCGGATGCTAAGGTCTCAAAACAGTCTGACAACACCCTCGACCCCTGAGTCTATTAGAGATGACCGACATACACTGACTGGCAACATCGACAACCAATCCTTCCTGCACCCGGAAATCCAAACACCAGTCAAAGAGCAACCTTGTCCGGGAAGCCTGCATCGGCAACCACAAACCTGGCCGGCAACAACTTTACCATGTCAAGACAGCACTACAACACAACAGATTCAAGGTTCATCCAGTCAAGACGCAAGATCCAAAGTCTTTCACCTACCAAAGGGTCCCCTACACCCAAGGTCGAACCCACTAGGCTCACCCCGCCTATTACACAGCCCAACACAGGCAGTTCTCATCACATCCAGTACTTCCTAAATGACAAAGGTATCCGGGCTTTCCACACCCACAAGATCCACAATAGCCCACAGGACAAGCAAGCCTTCAAGACCGAACCTGATGCATCCCCTGCGAATGCAGAAGGTGTACACTGGGTACACCAGCAAGAGAACTCAACGCCAGACAGCACAAACACAGATCACATGGCAGATGGGGAGAATTACAGGAAATCAGTGAACACCCAGCACTCACCAAAAGGGACACCATCATCATGAGTATCAAGCAGCTTCATCCATGCTCTGTCCGTCTAGCAATGAAGGTCAGCAAACAGACGATAGCTCTACAAAACTTCAGCATCACCATCAGAGACATCTGTTACCCTCTACATGTACGTAGTAGCTCAAACATCCACAGACCTCCAATTGCCTTCCTCCTCCAATTTCTTAGACCTCCTCCTCCAATGTCTTCTAAGGATGTGACGTTTCATTTTGTTAATGTTTAGCAAACATTTAAAGAACCATCTCAATGTTGAGCCCTTTCACAAAGACTGACGACTGCCCATTGTGCAGACCAACATGATCGACACAATAAATAATAAATGAGTAACATAATAAAAAGAGGGCCGACATTGAAATCAATAAAAAGATGAGCACGTAGCCTGAAAGTAATCTAATACTGCAGTTCTCCTTAGCTTTTAGCAAATTGAATAGGTTTGTTGAAAACATTGCTAATTGTTTTTTTGCTATGCATGCTCAACTCAAAGGAAGATAGCGGAAAATGGGTTCCTGTTTTTAAAATTTGAATTTTGTTGAAACTTTTGGAAAAATAAGATTTAGAATTTTGTTTATTGTTTTAAATGTTCAAATGTGTAAATGTCACATCCATAATTTCCTCACTCCACCAATACATAGTTCCCCTTTTGCCTGTGGATTTCAGTTTAATGTTTACACTCAGCCTGCAGAGGATGAAATTACTTTTTGATATCAGATTTTACATATTTATTGAATTTGTTAAAAGCACAAGTAAATTAATGTGCACAGTTTAACTGGCTAAATTAAATTGATGATATACATCTTTTGTCAAAGTGGATTTTTGTTAATTTTCACTTACTGCTTCTAATTGTTTCAGCTTCTTTTCAAAAAATTCAATGTACCCACTGACACCCTATAGTGAACATAATTAAACAGTACAACTGCCAATGCATCAACCTCACGCTAGAATCATTCGTGGGTTTATCTCCATCCTAAATGCTGGAGATGTTTATCGTGAATTTCTTCCCGCATGTACACTCCCAGCAAGTTCTTATTAAAAAGGGGCCTATGGGTCATTCTTCAGTATCAAGTGTCTACTTTCATGTCCCGACACTTTAAGGCACTATAAATTGAAAAAATATAGAATGAAAATTAAATGTTTAAGCAGTAAAATTAACTTAAACACGACTCCTATTATTTGCAGTGTTAAGAACTTTTTAAAATAATGGACAAGCTGCTCAATCTTTGCAATACTCTCTCAAAACCCCCTCAAAATGCATGTCCCAGTGTATTTCTCAAAATGTACCTACTGCCATAATTTGTAAAGTAAACAACTGAAAAGGTAATTATACCTCCAAAAGCCAAGTAATATAATAATTGTCATTTCCGTCACAAAAGGTGTGACGTATGGATATGACTTTTGCATTTTGTTCACAATCAATATTTCTCTGGGCCCTATTATTAAGGAACCCAGCATTATTTCCTGTAGAAAACTACTTCACATCACCACTTCAATACAATAGAGACTAAAATAACAAAGACATATGTTGCAAGGATTAATGAAGTCCCTGAAAGCCATCAGCCCTGTTTCTGGTGCATAATAATTGTCAATTATCAGATTGATCTTCGATCAGGCCAATTAAATATGTTGAACACTTCAAGTGATTCAACATGGGAAAATACACATTATGACGTACGTGAGTAACCACTAGCTTATTAACTGTCACTTCCCTAACATGCTCAAAATCCAACATGTTTAAATAGGATTATGTGAAAATCTTAGATCTGCGGGTTTATGCAAAAGTGACGTTGATGCGATTGCAAATCCCGCGCTTTGTGAATGCACATCGCCATGATCGCAACCTTGGTAATACGATTCTTCCCTGTTAAATACTCACGACCAGGCCATATGAACTTCTTGCAGTTTTTCAGGGGTTAAGAGAATCGAGTTGACGGCGGACGCACTGAATCAAGTACCTCACAAATTAGCAGAGCTACAACCATGAAAACATCCGGAGAAAGTGACCCAACATGGCGACGACACTTGTGAGACGGGCTTGAGTACAGGGTCTTTTCATTGTGACATGTGCATGCAGCGCTGACATGACAACAAACCGCCACGTGTGAATTGTATCCATTCATTTTGCACCTGTCAGTGTAACAAAACAACACCACCTGTATGCGCCATCACGTGGGCAATACGTCATACCTTGGGAACTTTCGCAAACCTTGGTTTCGTTTGAAAGATTTAGCTTTCACTTCCAGCGATGTTATTTTGTCACTTTTGGGATATACTGGTATCGGTCTTGTTTTGCTTTGAAAATGTTTTGTTGTTGACATCCTAAATGTTATGACATGCTTGTATCGGACATGTAATTAGTTGTGGAAATGATTACGACACTGACGCCGAAGCTAGTCCGAAATTTCAAAAACGCCACTCTCAACGATTTGTTTAGAGGGCGCTGTTAAAGTTACCGGTAGAAACTTTTTAACATAGACTTGGTGGCAGGATTACCCCCAGAGAGATTGACCCCTGATACCAAAAAATGCTACCTCAAAAATGAAAAAAAAGTGGAACAAAGTTCCCTAAGAACGGTGTAAAGATTATGTATGTTTTTGTGTTTACTTGTATGATATCCTGGGCAAATAGCAGAGCTGCAGCTCAGTCCATTATTTTTTTACCAAATTGTGGTAAACGCAAAAAATGTGGCCTACAGAACCGAAATGGGCCAAGAGTCATTTGAGGGTACTCACCCTCAGGTGCAGTTCCACAAGGGGAGGGGGGGGGGGCAGGGAGTACCCAAACTGTTGTCGAGACACCCCCCCCCCCCCCCCATTAACAAAAAAAAGACGGTAGCAAATGTTAGAATTAAGGTGATGTCACATTCGAACGGTATCTCCCTTCCCCCTTAAAAAATTAGTTGTGAGCAGGGGCCATGAATTGTACACTATTAGGTTATGTAGTGTGCACGATTGAAGGATTTTATCGGCACTCCCCTGGGCACTCCCCTGGGCACTCCCCATTGAATATATGTACAAGAAAAGAAAGATACTTCAATGTTTTAAGATATTTTACATTTGGGTTTGATTATTTTTCTTGAGTACTTTCCTTTAGCCATGATATCTACTTGGAAACATTGGGATTCTGTAACCAAGAAATTAAGCGTGACACGATGAAATAAGCCAGAGGAAAAAATGGTAAATCTTTCACACAGAATAATTTGACTGAAACAAGTAAAATGGCTCAGGTCTACATGTACATGTATTTAATATAAAATTTACCATTGAAAATACAATTTTATTAAAAGTTCAAAAGAGTTCATTTCTAACATCACGTTTCCAGAAAACTAGAACATTTATAGAATAGAAAGTCTGATTCACTTTAAACACCGCATCCACTTTGATAATTTGCCATTGGAAATATAGTTTTTTGAAATATGAAAGAAGTGACTGTTAATTTTAAAACAAAGTCACAAAAGTCCAAAATTTACAGCACATAAATTCTGATAAGTTTAATAACTATATGGTGTACATGTATTATAAATGACAAACACAACTACATTAAAGTAGGTGAATCATATCCACATCATCTACGTTCATACCAACATCCATGACAGAAAACCTTATCTCATTTGCACAAATAATCTTAACAAGGCAAATTTGCACTTCACTGTAACACACATTGTTTTGAAGTTCAAATGTATTTCACTCTCGAAGGTTATACGAAATGACAAATACACTTCTAAATTGTATACCAATTTTTTGGAAGTTTTGGTAACTTAAAACAAAGGGAATAAAAATTCATCTTGATGTTTTATAATTACACATTGCACTCGGATGAATACATCATGCCTTTCATGATTGCATGTGCTGTCCAAATCTGGTCTCAGATTATCGTGATCATGATTAATCCTACATATGCTTCATAAGACTCATTTGACCAATTAAAATGTTTCTATTTCATGTTTCTCATGTTACGATCAGAAGCAATGAAATACACTTGTTGTATAATCCTTGACTGCAACTTTCTTAAAAGGTACATATGATTATTTGCTTCTTGTGCCTTTACTTTCGTTTGAAGCAACAAAATTGCTACAAATCTTAAGCAGGATGCATGACAACTAACCTGTTGAAGGTTGATTGGATACATTTAAAGAAAACCGGGAAAACATATTCACTTTTTTAGGGCGTCTTGTAACTGGATTCCATTGCTAATGCATAATGTGAAAATGTGCCGTGGACACCCTCTTTCGAAACCACCTCAGTTTTCATCCACACGATACAATTTCAGCCGGAATATTTTCACAGGGTATTTCAGTGGTACCAGTCCTATCTTGACTGTAAGCAGAGTTTTTGTCATTAAATCAATGCTTCTCCAGGTAATTGCAAATGATTCACATGGCTTTGAGTTAACAGTGTTTCAATTTTAACTGTGAATGTACATTGGTCCAGTAAATAATACGTTCAGGTACTGTTGTTCATGAAATTTTCACACAAAATTTGAGCCCTGCTAACGAACTCATTGAACACAGCACGATATGACAATAGCTTGTACTTGGACAAATAGTCTCTTTGATTTCAGTAAAATAAAAAAAAATAAAAAAACAAGTTTACATAATAAAATATGTATATTTCATTATTAATTAAGAGCACAAAATTGTATCATGACAAGTTCCAATTTATGAGTACTGACTTTAATAATGAGTCATTATATTTTTTTTTGAAATATAGCACTGTATCCTTATTTTGTTACAATTTCCATATTATAATAATGCAATATATTTTATAATGCCCATAGTCAGTTTTCCTCTCGGTTTATCGGAAAATTTGTTTGTTTATTTTAACAAACCTTGGTACTGATCCAGTGTAACCGGCACAAATTTGGACACCATGTATTGGTTCAGTTGAGCTTGCCATTTGGGGTCGAGATGCATGTTGAGAAGATGCCTGGTGATAGATGTCTTGAGATCCTCTGCAGGAGAAAAATGACCAAAGAATATTCAAACTGAGATGAGGAAAATGGTGGTTAATCTAAACGCAGACTCAAAATGGCAGGCTCTTGCAGGCCGTTTAAAGTCTGATACTGGCAAGCGCGTAGATTGTCAGCTGGCAAGCGCGAAGATTGTCAGATCTACCTATGATGCAGGGTTCAACATAATTCACATATTTACAGGCGTACTAAATTATGAGGCCCCTGAATGCCCTCATGTGCACGTGTCAGGTCAGATCTTCTGTTTAAACGGTGGTCCGACTGTCTGAGGTACTTCCCTCTTCCACACAACAAATATCTTTACGCAAAGTATGTATCACTAATTTCATTCAGTATTCATAAGATGGAATTTTGCGTTGGGGTGATGTAAATCAAATTAGGTTTTGCCCTTCACCGACGTATAAACACTGTATACTCAGTGTGTTACCTTCCGAGTGAAAGTTGGAAAAAAAATCACTCGGGTGGGACTCCAACCCACGACCTCCTGCTTCCTAGTGCAGATGTCTTACCACTCAACCACTGAGCTAATGGGATCGGTTGGCTGGTTCGAATCTGATGTGCATAGCAGCAGAGACCACATTAACTATTCATAAGATGGAATTTTGCATTGGGGTGATGTAAATCAAATGAGGCTTTGCCCTTTACCGTTGTTTTCCAACTTTCACTCAGGAGGTAACACACTCATACAGTGTTTATACGTCGGAAAGGGCAAAACCTAATTTGATTTGAGTTATATTCAGCATGCAGAGTCTTGTGGTTAAAAGGTTCCCGTGTTTGACTCAAGCGCGATGTTATGTTGGGTCAACCTTGACAGGGGACACGGTGCTGGTGTTCTTGGGCAAGATACATTACTACAATTGCCTCTCTCCATCCAGGAGTATTAATGAGTACCTGTGGGGGTGCAGACCAGACACTGCTGATTTCAAGCAGTTCTGCAGAAAATTGTTCTCATGGCCTGCTGAACAGGGATAATAAGTTTGAGCAATCCGAGAGTGTTGTATAAGAGTGCTGTATAAACACCACACTATGATCATCTAATATCTTAACATCAGCACAAGGTATTGGGCGACCATGCATTCTCGAGTTCCACCCAACCCTTTTCCTTAAGGGGGAGTAGTTTGTCACAGAGTCCACTGTACCTACCAGGTAATTCTGAGTTGACCACCCCAGGGTAAACAGGCATAGGCCCCCATGAGGTGACGACATGAAGCTTGTCCCTCAGCTCAGGATGGGCCTTCATCTGTAAGGCTAGGGTGTTGGAGTCGATGCCTGTACCGTCTGCTGTCTTATTAAGGATCATCTGGATGGACTTCAGATGGGAACCTGGGCAGGATTAAAAGTTTTTTTACGAGATGGAAATTATCCTTTTTTATATTGGATTTTTGTTTGCCCTTCGCCGATTTATTTTGTAAACACTGTACACTTAGTGTTGTCCGAGGGCTTAGGTAGGACTCAAACTAATGACCTCCTAGTACTCAAACAAAGTTGGGTTACGCGCTAGTACATCAGACTCCAAACCGCCAGCTTGCCACAGCAAGCTCAGTGGTCGAGTGGTTAATGCGTCTGCACTAGGAAGCAGAAGATATTGTGGGTTCGTGTCCAACCCGAAGAAAGCTTGTTTTTTTTTTCTTGCAAGCCCTCGGACAACACTGGAATGTACAGTGTTTGTTAAATACTTTAGCTAAGGGCAACAAAAAAATAACATATATGAAAAAGAAGATCAATAATTATATGAATGAAGTTGAAAACCAATTGTACCGAATTGATTCCTACTTTCTGATTCACAATTTCAAATTTCACAATCATCCAAATAGAATTGAGACGCCGACCAATGCAAATGAGTCTCCACAGATGTTTGTCTTACCTGACTGGATAATTTTACCGAAGAAACTGGCCTTGGTCTCTCCTATCTTTTTGAGTTCTCGATGGGTAATCCCGAATCCGCTCAGTGAGTGGGCGTCGTTGTAGGCCCAAACTGATCCACGTAGGTCCTCGAACACTTTATATCTATCACTGAAACATAATCAATACAATTATTTATGATTAGTATTGAATGGTGGGGCCCCGGGGGGGGGGGGGGGGGGGGGGGGGATGTCAAATATGTGGAAGAAAGTGTTGTCGTGGAGACACTCACAAGCAGTGTTGTAGCACAGTCCATCACAATTCCATCAAAGGTAAATCACCCGTCCTGTCACAAGTCCAGTCTCAGGTAACGATACTAAACGAATGGTTTTGCTATGTGCTGTTCCTTGGCTAGACTTTTAATGTGCTCCGTGTAATGGGCTTCGTGTGCCAACAAAAGAGAGGACACGTTTTTACCTCTTTTGAGACCTCCTTGGATGGGACACACAGCTTGCGCGTACTGTACTGTTCGCGCGTGAAGTAGGCACGACTTCCTGAATGTGCAAAAGGAGACTAATCCCCGCCTCCAACAACTTTGGATTCATTCGAAATACGCAGTGGATGGATCGGGAACCAGTCTAGGGCACCCCAACTCTCCATTTCTGGCCGTCGATGGGGTACTTGTGCACAGAGCCCATAGACTGAAAGACTTGACACGAGTCTATCACAAGTCATCCCACCCCTGGCCAAGTCACGAGCTATTCCAATAAACCTTGGCAAAAGGAATTCCTTTGTGACCGTTCATCCCGTGACTCGTGACCGGACTTCAAAACTGAAATATGATTTACTTGTGTTAGACTCGATTTAACACTTGGGTAAAATTGTTATAGACGAAATATTAAGTTGGGGCCAACATTTTGAACATGTAAGGAAAACAGTTTCGTCTAAACCGGGTATGTTGACTAGAATTCGTGATTATGTTCCCCGAAGCAGCCAACACACACTTTTTGTAAGTTTAGTTATGCCGACTTAGAGTACAGTTGTACTGTATGGGGAGGAAGGTACGCATATCTCACGACAATATTCTCAACAAATGTCTGAAAGAGCCGCACGGATGATCCTTAAAATGCACCTCCCTCAGCCCTTCATGGGATAAGTTTGCTGGACTAAATTGGGTTCCTTTTTCTGAAAGAGTTAAAGGGAATGTACATCATTGGCTTTTGCTGTAATTTTCAGAAATGAACTATTTGAGGGGTAAGTATAATAGACCAAATATTGTTTAACTGACATGTTTGAAGTTTTGTGTTCGAAAATGCTTGAAAACCAAGAAAAACACAACTGTTTATGAAGTCTGGTTCCCTGACTCCACTAAAGATAAAATGGATCAATTATAGATGTCGGAAAATTGTAAGATAAGGGAACCAGTCTAGCTGGCCTGCAACCCGTTCATGAACATGTAACCAATAGCAAACAAAAATTAATTTGGACTGGAAAAAAAAATTGTAAATTTGGAGCAGTAGTTGAAAAATAGTTAGGTTTTTCCAACGGTGGTCGGCCGACCACCGTTGGAAATGTATACAAAAATACCATTTTCTTGAAAATGACTCGACACCAGGTGCCATAATTTTACAGGCTGTCATTTACCAACATCCTAGACATGTCATTTAGACTGTCATTTACCAACATCCTAGTAAGGTATTTCGTAAAAACTCGGTAGTTTTATTTTTCGATGTTTGCAAATGTTGTATATTCCCTTTAAGTCAGAAAATGCTCTTCTTGTTGCCACATGAATTTTTATTGATAATCACCATATCGTAAGAATTTACCAGTTGTCTTTGTTGACTACGACGTTTGTATAATACACCGGGAGGTCACTGCTGTGCGAGTTGATATATGCAGGGGCAACACCGAGCAGTGCGGCCTTGCTGCTCGGTTTGCAGAACATACGTTCAAATGTCGGTGCGCATAAAAATCCTGAAGTTAAAGATGTTACAAAAATGTTACAAAACAATTGGAAAATCTACATTTGCGTTTACAGCATTGACTCCGTGCCCTAACAGTGAAAGGCACTTTTTATACAACTGACATACAGATCCTTGCCATTTGATTGGTGGAACTCACATCACGTGATACTCATTATTGCTCCCATTCACACCAGGGCTCAAAAAGTCCCATTCGCCCATGGTGAATGGTATTTACTATTTAACAGCTAGGGTCATCTTTGTTCCTTGGCGCGGTATTTGTGTGCAAAATTGCATGCTGGTGTGATGCGTTGTGCGTATTGTTGCCAAGAGCCAGTAGCTACAGAGTTGGGTTCAAACATTTCGTGAGTGGGTGGTCTCTGGAAGAGAGAAATACATCAAAAGAAATACTTTTGATTCGTTTCGCATGTTTTTCTACACTCAAGAGCCAAGTCTGATCCTTGCCTATATCAGCGTCCCCTGTTGTGAATGGGTCAATGCGGTCATCCGGGGGACCAGACCACCGGCTCTCGCACATGAGGTAGACGTAGCAATTCAACTTCTCTTCCAAGTATTCCTTCAGTGTCTCAAAGTACTCCAGGGGGATGCTGGGAAAGAGGTAGGTGATGAGACGCAACGTCCGTGGGCACTCTAGTTCTTGGTGACTGGTCATCATGCAGATATCTAGGGCCGTAGTTTATATCATGTTCTAGCCTTTAGGCAGAAAAAAAAACAAAGGTGTAATTAAACTTTTTAAAGTCGTTGCATTTTATAACAAGTTATCTATCTAATATTGTGCTTATATCATTGTATATAGCACTTTATTTTTCTAGACTCTCCATAGACATTGTACAGACAATTTTCTAGACTCTCCATAGCCCCATAAATGTGGCCTATTTATTTACTGGACTGCCTCCGTAAACATAGGCCACACATCCACATGTACAAAAAACGTGTCGACTTTGCCAAATTTTGATTTTCACATTTGGGCTTACTTTGTAGATTTTTTTTGCTTTAGAAGCATTCTCACCCTCTATATAGGCTAATCAGAAAGTTCTGCCTTTTTCAGATGTTTAATTTTTGTGAAATTTCATGTTGAAATTGTGATACGCAAACGTGTGCAAATGTATCTGGAAATTTCACGAAAAATGGACATCTGAAAAAGGCAGCACTTTCTGATTAGCCTATATAGAGGGTGAGAATGCTTCTAAAGCAAAAAAAACGTAAAAAGTAAGCCTAAATGTGAAAATCAAAATTTGGCAAAGTCGACACGTTTTTTGTACATGTGGATGTGTGGCCTATGTTTACGGAGGCAGTCCAGTAAATAGGCCACATTTATGGGGCTAGACTCTCCATAGACTTAATTTTTGTACAGAAAATTTTCTACAAGTAGTATGGAACGCCGTATTATCGCGGTACCTATCACGTTTCTCGTTCGGAATAGAGATTGCCCACTAACCTTCCAGAATTGTCCTGTCTTATGTGTAGTATAACTCTTCCTTTTAAAATTAATATAAAAAAATCTGACGGGTGGTGTGGTTTATTCCGTGTACGATGCCTGTGAAAATAGACATGCGCGGCGTGTGCGAACGGAGGTGGACTCCCTATTATCGCGGTATGCGGGAAGTGGTTTTTATAATGATCCCAACTTTTTTGTTCATAGTTTATCTTTGACCAAAACACCCCCTGAATAAAGTCTGATATTTTCCCTGTAACGTTCAAGTTGATTAAAGACAAAATGTCTGCAGGATGATTTCTTAAGACCCTGCCCTTCCCCCGAAAGGAGATCACAAATCCCTGAGGCAAGTCTACTGATCGGCGATTGAGGGCGCCATTCACTTTACACGGTGTGCCGTTTTATTTTCGCTAACGCGCGGTGCTTATTTTGATCCCGTAAAAGTTGTTACGATTTCGCGCTGCAAATATCGTCGTTCGACTTCATTTTACATTTGCAGCTGAAGAATGGGAACCAGACAATGGAACTTTCATGGACAGAGCGCAATTAAAGATTTTGTTAAATATAAACGGTACCTTTTAGCAGACACGGTGAGGGAAAATTTTGCAAGTTTTGGAAAACGTTAATATTTATTAAAATCGTTAAAAGTCCCGAAAGACACAACATTTTTTAATCGTCCTTTTTATACAACTCGGTAGAAAATCCTTGATGACTGGTGAACTGGATAAAAATCGCCACTTGAAGGAGTTTTGACACTGTAAAAAGAGAAATTTCCCATGCCGCGATAATAGGGATGCCGCGATAATAGGGAGTCCGACTATACAATATCTGAGTTCTGACCATGATCTGACCAAAGACTTTGTACACAACCTCTGAAGTCATGGAAGTAGCGTCAGGTTGTAACACTCTTTCCGGGGAAAGTATTTTTTTTTTAAACACACAAAAACACTCTGCCAAAAATGTCTTACTGTCGATATGCAGAAGTAAGGATTACCCTTAACTTGATGTGCTTGCATGAGTTAGTATTGGATCACCCAGCATTCATTCCAAAGTTCATTCCAAACCACTCGTCCGTCCAGCATTCGCACACTCTCGATCTCTCGTGTTTGTTCATGTTCTGGCCGTCCAGAAGTTAAATACCGCCCTCTCTAGGTCCGTCTATAATACTGCACTCTGCATTTCAGCCGTGATTTGAACTGAGCGCATCTCAATGTCTGACCAAAACTGTAATAATTTTGTGTTGGAAATAATAATAGCACGAAATAGTGGACGAAACTTGATTCATAAAAGTATTGGTTCGGCCACTAAAAAACAATGAGGCGGCTGGATAATGTTTGCGAGGAGGTCAGGCCAGTGGCGTAACCAGCCTTATTTTTATTTGGGAGGGGGGGGGGTTCAAAAATTCATGAAAAGGGCACTCGCAAATCAGTGTTGAAATGTAGACATGTTTTTCCCTCCGGACACTTGGCCTCAGTAAAATCAAGTAGTGGGGAGGAGGGGGGGGGGGGGCCGGACAGGCGGACATATACAATTATTTTTTCTCTTTTTTTGGGGGGGGGGTGTCAGAGTAGGGGGGTCATAGGAGGGTTGCCCCAGATCTGCGCCTGGTCAGCCGACCAGTTCGAATCCTGCCAGTGTTCCAACTGACGAATTTCAAATTGGCACTGAATCCGAAGGCCCCAGTGTTTTCTTTTGTTGAGAGGATCTTTTTTTTTTAATTCTCAATTCACACAATGGCCTCTAGGGCTGAGAGCCTCGATCGGTTTCAATGCTAATTGGAAATTCATCTGTGGTACGGGATTCAATCAGTGTGATGTGAAAGTGACGCGCTAATAAGACTAGTCATGGGTTCAAGTCCCACATTATGCAGGGTATCAGTTGCGTATTACTGCATGGGGAGGGACATGGGGGTTCCCCTTCTTGCCCTTCCTCCAGAATCTGGGGAAAGCAAAACGAGCTAATTATTGTTAAAAAAAACACAGAGTGCCCCATTAATGAGACCCCTTTAAGGCCCCCCCCCCCTGCAAATTGAACCCAAATGCAACTGCCAGGCATCCGAGTATAAACACAGATTTGTGGTCTTCACGCAAAATAGAATGGTCTGTAAACTTGAAGAAAAATTGAACCTGCTATCTCCAATGTTGCAACCAACCAGGCTATACAGGATATGGAGTTTTACATGTAGTTATATTAAATCAGTACTCGGACAGAATGATATAAGGACCCCAAAAGGCATTTTCTTGAATTCTCACTTAACACTTTACTTAAATTGTTGCATTCTAAACATACAATTTTTCATTGATTTGTAATTATTTTATATGCCTTGCATTGTATTATTTAACTTAATAATCTGTACACAATTGTTCTCAAAAAAAATTTTCTTATGGCATATTGCCTCATTTTGCGTCTTGAATATTCTGCCTATTATTGAACCACCCATCCGACTGATCGACCAACTACCAGCCAGACACACAGACCAAAAAAAGACAGATTAGGCCAACAAAAAAAAAATCTCCAGTTTCTGGTATGCGCGCGCGTCGCCGTAGCCATGCGCGTCGGCAAAATGAAAACGTTTTTTTTTCAATAAAAGATGATGTCTCAAAACCGCCAAACTCACTGGTTTGACTGGAATCCTGCTGCTGCACAATTTTAACGTGTTTTTAGATGGGGTTATGATCGAGAATATGCTTTATGTGGCCTCTCCGCACTCCCATATATTTGCACTAAGTTTAGTCGGGCACCATTTGCAGTCATCAGCCGACATTTGAAGCAAAAAAGACAGGTAAAAAAAAAAAAAGCCGCGTCGCCGCATCACTTTTCGGGGAAGCTCCATACCAGAAACCGGAGCCTTTTTTGGGGGGCCTTAACTGACATCCTATACAGAACGTAAACAGTGTACAAAACAGTACAATAAAACAAAAATTGTACAAAGAGATATTTTTCGAATTGAAAGCTCCGTATTTACGGATGAAAGCTCCGCATTTACGGAAACACAAGCTTCGCAAACATTTCAGGTTCCAAAATCCGACAGCCTTATATTGTCCACATCTGACAAGATCTAGCTGGCACGCCAATTTTTTTCATTTGAAATGTGCGACGCCTGTAGGCCCTAATATTTACATATTTTTTTTAATACACACAGGCGTGGCCGATATACAGTTTTTAGATTCAAATTATAAATGCACAATTCCTCCTGATAATTAATTACTTTACACAATTTATGAGTCTGTAAGCATGGATCATCTATATTTCAAAGCACAACCCTTGCCCTTTGTGGCGTAATTTCCACACTGCCAGCATAGACATTTTTTTACAATGCATGTTAAGTTTAAGAAGTTTGACGTGTGGCATCCAAAGTTTTAGGATTCGTTTTGTATGCAAGTGCTGTCCGGTTTATTTGCATACTTCATGATGACATTTGCCGCATCGAGTCTCTTCGCTTTCATCATAACCGAAGCCATCCACTCTAGACTCTTAGCCTGGCGTTCAGCTTCTTCCAGGAGGGTCTCGGTGGGGTTATACGTCGGCGTGTTCTTCAGAAGAGGAATTAGAGAGTCCATCTCCAAGGCGGATGCCAGCACGCGCCAGTCGTTGCCTAGGGGGGCTAGGGGGTCCAGGAGTAAGACCAGCTCCATGCAGAGTTCGTGGGGAATTGTTCGCTGGGTGGAGACACAAAGAGGACCTGCAGATGAGGGGTGGATGTGTATCTGCATATTCTGGATGCAACTTTGTTGCTTGCCTTGGTCCTCGGGTTTACAAGTTACGTCTACGTTTTCACTGGTGTCAGAAGTGGGATGTGATGAACACGAGGACATGTTGGAGGATACAGAAGTGGTACTAGATTCTGTAGACGTTGAACGGAAGCTGTCTGATCGGCTACTCGAGCTGCTTTCACTCTGGAACCGTCTCCTCTTTCCGTGCCTACTTGGCGGGAACACGTGAATTACCGCCTGAGTGTTCCCGGTGCTCTTATCAATATTTTGTCTTGCTGATACCGACTTCATGGACGCGAGCACTTTCAATGTTGTCTTCTCTGATTCGTTATCCTCCCTGCCTCGCTGGTAGACTGCAAGTCTGATGTCGATGTCTCGCACGTGCTCGTTCTCATGTTTGAAGATGAAGGAGACATTGGGGCATTTTCCGTGCCACAAGCTCAAGTACGGCACCAGTTCCTGCCGATCGTCAAGTCGGTGCGACCATCCCTCGTTGACGTGTTGAATCATGGCTACGATGTCCTCTCCGTCACCGTGAAACAGGAACTCCTTGCGGGGACACAACTGCCGGAAGTGATTCTTGGCTTCGTTCTGGATGGCAAACTGCAAAGCGCACGGTGTGTTGTTCAGAAAGTAGACTCGGATCTCGTACCGACGTTTGGCTCGCATTCTTCCGCCGAACACGGCCAGCTGCATCCACTTCTTGGTAGCAGTTTTTCCTTCGGCCAGGCAGGTGTAGAGTGTGAAGTGAGACACCTGAATCTGTACTTCGTTCGGCAAGAGATTGTACGGTTTGTTGCTGTCGTCTCTCTCGCAGACCTGCCGCCAATCCTTGGTCTGCATCAGGTGTGTCTCGCTGGCCACCAAGGCCACGTCCCCGCGGTCATACGCGCAGTGTTTGTAACTCAACACAGCGGGTTTGTTCAGTTTCAGTCCATGAGGTCCGCAGTGCACAACGGGGCTGATGATGGTCTCCTCGTCCGCCATGCCGGGAAAGTCTCCAAGATCCCAGTCAAGGATGAGGGAGATGAGCTCGGTACAGCCGGCCTCGATCGCATAGGGTGGGATTGTCAGGGAAATGCCCATGTCTGTCAGCACAAGGGTGTCACCAAGATGACTGACCTCACGGGAGATGAACACTACTAGTTTGCCGCCTACCATGATGGTCTCGCTTTGCGTCATCCCGGCTCTGTGGAGCTCCTCGAGCCGATGATCTTCCTGGAAAACTTCTGCGGAACCCGCCCGCTTAATCGACACGGACGACGAACTTGGTGGTAATCTGAGCTGTCCGTCGTAGGTGTAGTGGTTCTGGCCAGGGAATGTATTTCCGGCTGTGGGATGGATCCTTTCACCGAACTCCCAGTTGTTAAAAGTACTTGGCTGTCCGGAGAATGGAATTGTATAAATAGGATCATCTGGCGTGGGAGTGAAGCACCCGTTGGAGCCAAACAAGGCAAAGTCCGTACCTTCCGACATTTTGCCACCTCTGGGCTGGGAATCACATATTATGACACCCTCAATGTCACTGCCCACGGCCGTGGAGGACTGGTTATCCCTCTCCCAGATTATCCTACAGGTCCTGCCGAACCATCTTCGGCATACATACTTCAGAACGAAGACGACAACAGCCAACACTAAGACAACACCGAGTATTGTGAATAATATGATCATTATTTCTCGGTCATTAAGTTCGCCGCCATCGCTAGGTTGACCATCTCCCGATCTCACGTCATCGTCGTTGTCAATGTCACCAGAAAGATCATGGTGACGACCCATCTTGTTTTCGATGGCGAGTGTTAACCTTGAGACCGTCCAGTCAATGAATCTTGATATGGACGGACGAGTTATAAGGAATCCAGGCAAGTGAAGTAACCATAACCAGTGTCGTCTCTGTCAAACAAAACGCGTTGATCATAGGGACTGGTTCAATCTTTCACTTCTCCTTGGTAAAATTGAACTGTGATTTTCCAACTTAATATAGCGATGAGTCACCGTTGAACTTGTTCGGTAAGATTGTGAAGTACCTGACATGCCGGTGACAGTGAAAATACTACACGACCAAACTGCTACAAAAGTCGCCGTGGTACAATGCAATTATTGTCTATCAAGGTAGGCCTACTCACAGATCCGGGTCTAGATAACTGCGCACTACAGAGGGTAAAGTTCGAAATATTAAAACTTAAAGCTGAGGTTTATGTTGCGTGTCTTGATTTTGAAGGGAAACAAATCTTCTCTGCGTAGAATGGACCTCGTTACATGGGTGCTAAAAAGCTATGTGCGGAATCACGCTGGTTCATGCACATTATTGGTAAACTATCTGTTGATGTATATCAGTATTTCTAGATTTCACATCCCACGTCTAAAAAGCGGCCGGCCATAATTATAACACATAACAACCAATGAAAACTGGTGTGCAAATGAATACATGTTTTCATTGGATGACGTCACTATACCTTTATTATGGCTATAACCCTACTTCTCCTTCAGATGGCATGCATCTTTTGAGAACAGTACAAATTTGCCTGGGTGGTTTTCACGGAATAGAAAAAAATTATGCCTTTAACGTTTTCCCCTTTCCGTACTCTGGGGTTGTTTACCGTGATATAGCACGTTATCTTTTTATGTCAATCTCGTTTATTATCTTCCCGTACGTGCATTTCGGTGCAAACCATTCGGTAGCCCACCCGGGTTCTTGGGGGGACGTCCCGTCCGGTCCACGGGTTTAGAATTTGGACCTCTCATGTCTCTGTAAATATTCTTTGCACCGTTTCGAAGATAACCCAAGTGCACCATGTGAGTCGACAGTGTTTTGGTTTCAAATCCCAGTCATACCGTTGTGGGTAATAATAAATAATTCGGGACTAATCGAGGGACATCCCTATATTTGCTATCCATTGTCTGTCTCGTTACGTCATGTTTTAAGTCCGAAATAGCTCCCGTTTTGCTACCAAAATATTGCAAGTGACCATGGCAACCACACTGTTTCGACGAAAACAGGAATTGTACAGGGTGAGAAAAAAACCCCGAAACTCAAATGAGAGGACCAATTTTTGAATGAAGTTTTGCCTGTAGCACTTTCAAAATCTAGAATATTAAAGCCCAGTCATTAAGCTTTCTTTTAGTACAAGAATCATTCAAATCGCTCATGTACTTTTCAAGTTACGGAATTTTGAACACAAACATCGTTTTAAAGTTCTGTCCACGGATCTTTAAAAAAAAGCATTCTTTCAGCAAAACGGAAACAATTCTGCATGTGAATTGTGTTGTTTGCTGAAAGAACACGTACCTGTTTTTGTGATGCGTGGATGGACAGAAGTAAAACGGTGTTTGCGTTCAAAATTATGTAACTTGAACAGTACATGAGTGATTTGAATGATTCTTGTACTCAAAGAAAGCTTATGAATTGGGCTTTCATATCCTAGATTTTGAAAATGCTTACATGCAGAACTTCACTAAAACAATAGTCCCAACATTTGGGTTTCGGTTTTTTTTACTCACCCTGTATACTCGGTGTGTTACCTGCCGGGTGAAAGTTGGGACAAAAATCACTCGGTGGGACTCGAACCCACGACCTCCTGCTTTCGATAGTGCAGACGTCTCACCACTCGACCACCGAGCTTGCGGATCGGTTGGCTCGTTCGAATCTGATGTACGTGTAACAGCGGGTACCGTAATTAAACTTGTCAAACTTGGTCACAACTTGAAATGCGATATCGAAAAAAATAACATGCGAAATGAGATCACACATTTTTTTTTACTAGCAACAAGTAACATTCACAGAAACAGTGATTCAGAAAGCCATTTTTGTATAGACATTCTTTATTTGCTGGATAATATATATATGGTATCTCGCACTACTTTTTTCCCCAGTTATCTTCGAAATCTATGTACAATTAATTACACATTTGAAAAGTTTGTACACAAAACTCCAGTATTGCAAAGGCTTGTTTTCAGCTCATGTCCACCAGTTGAAAAGATAAATAGGCTTTAGAGCTTGATATTAACAAAAACTATAGCAAAACAAACTGAAAAACAAGTGAATTAAAAACAAAATGATTATACAACTATAGGATCGTGAAAAAAAATGCATTAAAAACATTTTTTTTCTGAACATTATTAGGTATGGTATAACATCAGAAGAGATGAACATTTCATCAAAGCATTACCAGGGAATAACTTCTCACAAATATTTCTATCACTTCAATTAAAGCTTTGACTATATGTCCCCGAGAAGATGTGGGAATATCAAACAGAAAAAAAAGTACAGCACAAAAGGACTCCTGAAGTAATACCAGTAAGATGTTATTGCAAAAACGAATATCATTCAAATAAAATGTTACAAATACATCACTATAAATTATAGGAATTCTTTCCAAACAGACTCTATGCTGCATATTTATGAACTGTATACAAATGAAAAGCTTTCTGTACACCCCCCCCCAAAAAAAAAATATCAAAAAATAAAAAAAAATAAAAAAAGTTCAGAAACTACTTACATGCTTGTACAAGGGGTGGGCACTAGAATAAGACAACTTTACCATGTTAACTTTTAGTATTGAAACTTTCTTTGATTACTTCGTATGCACATATACAAATATAAGGCAAATACTTAATCCTACAGTACACTCACAAGCTTTAAACCAAACATCATCCCTCACTATTTGTTGTCCCTATGTTCGTAACCCTTAGGATGTCATTCCCTCTTTCTTTTTCAATGCAAACCGACTTAATATATTCCTTTGCTTTGAAAAGCAAGAGACAAATATCTACAAATTGCAATTTCACATTCATTCCTTTAAAAAAAATGTTTTTGGGTCTACCGTAGTCTTCGCAATTTTAAGGCTAAGTTATTGGTGACTAAATGATAACTTTTTTTCTATACAATAGTTTTCAGCGAAACACTTGTTTTGATATCTGTATTCATATACGTAGTAGTCTAAATTATCTAATTTGGGATTGATGGTGTATATGCAGAGTTACAAACTGTTGCTTTAGCAGGAAAATACTTCAACATTTTTTAATGCTGCGGGGTGGTTGCACAGTTGTAGTCGAGTACTTTCCGAGAACCAGCTTAAAGAGGTTGTGGAATGCTCGAAGACATTTCCGTTATTTTTCGGGTATATGTAGCCTAAGGTGTGATGAAATAAAAACGACTATTGGTTCTGTCATAAAATGAGTACAAAGGGTACTTTTGAGAGCTGTTTTTCAAGTCCTGTCATGCCTGTTTCGACCCGAACGTGCAATTTGTGTAAAAGTCGTCGTTGCGGGTAGCAAACAAAACACAATAAATCGTGACGTAATAAACAGGCCTCCCGATGCAGAGTAGCATAAACGAGTCCTGTTTATTACGTCACGATTTACTGTGTTTTGTTTGCTTCCCGCAACGACAACTTTTACACAAATTGCACGTTCGGGTCGAAACAGGACCTGAAAAATAGCTCTCAAAAGTACCCTTTGTACTCATTTCATGACAGAAACAATAGTCGTATTTATTTCATCACACCTTAGGCTACATATACCCCCAAAATGACGGAAATGTCTTCGAGCATTCCACAACCTCTTTAACTACCAAATATTGAGATAGTTTGGTATGGATAAAGCTGCATCATACAGATATTGGACATTAAATATTCACCAAAAGAAACTAAAGACTTAGGACAATCAGAATCTTGTATGAACTTAGCTTTTAAGACAAAAGCATTCAGAATATACTTTTAGAGTACTTTTAGAGTACTTCTGTCTCAAAGGTTGAATTAAAAAGGATTTTGTATGTATCCAAAGTCCCAAACTATTTTTTCTCCAACAGTGACTTCATTTGCTGTCTTCTGTCAATGTTTCTCTCGCTTTGTTCACAACAAAAAGCTCAATATTTGGTAGTAAACAAAGTACTCGGAAAATGCTTGCCTACAACTCTGGGTAGCGTGGGCGTCGCCAGGATATTTGCTAGAGGGGGGCAAAGCACATTCCCACCCCCCCCCCCCCCGAAATCCCTGTACCTTTCCAGGATATTATCGATTTATTATTTTTCGAGGGGTAGGCAGAGACATTTGCCCTCCCCCCCCCCCCAACCCATTAAATTAACAGCAATATGACTTTGCGCCCCCTTTTTTCTTCTTCTTTTTGTCCCCCCTTCCTTTGTTTTGTTTTGTTTTTGCTTCGGGAGGGGGGGGGGACGCCCCCCTCCCCCCCTACCCCCCCCCCTCGCGACGCCCATGCTGGGTAGTTGAGCACAGGAACACTAGTAATCAAACTTCACAAACAGTTCATGGTGTAATGTATCCCAACGGCAAGCAAACCGTGCTTGGTATTAAGCAAAGCAGATTTACTAAGCACCAAATGGAACCTATGGAGTGTATGACACCAAGCAAACTTTATATGAAAACTGGCACCACGCTCCTCTCTCTAATGAGCTGATCTATGGAACTCAACTCTTGTCTGTAGTTAGTGCTGGGACACTGTACATGTAACTATGGAGTCTCACTAAAGTTCTGGAGGAAAAACAAAAAGACAGGGAAACAAAAAGTCTTACTTCCATGGACTTTTGTACTTGTCTGAAATTGTGGGTGTTTTTTTTTTCATTCAAGTCAAAATCCAACGTAATATGACTTGCATGCAAGTAGGAGCACAAGATGCAAAAATGTTTTGAACTTGCAGGATTCAGTGTTGTGAGCGTTTGAAGAATATGCAAGTATGTGCACTGTGCAGGCAGTTCTAAAAACCATGAGACATATGCATTTTGATGTGGCACATGAATGATGTTGTGATGTAGTGCAAATCAATTGCTTGACTGAACTATAAGAAATGCAGCACTTGTAACTAGTTCTAAAGAGTGTTAAGAGTTTATAAATTAAATGTGGCTAATTTTCTGGCAGTCACAGCATAAAGGCCAAAACTGTTTTTTTAAACTTCAGCTCACTGTAAAGTCTGACTGCAAAATACCTATTAACCCTTTAGTGACCACCCAGTGTAAGCAGCCACTACCAGAATATCTTGAACTACAAATGGCCAGCGAACGTTCGGGTAGAAACTGGACCTGAAAAACAGCTCTCAAAAGTACCTTTTGTACTCATTTCATGACAGAAACAATAGTCGTTTTTATTTCATCACACCTTAGGCTACATATACCCGAAAAATGACGGAAATGTCTTCGAGCATTCCACATCCTCTTTAAGAACCTTTTCTTATAATTAGCAAACTGGTTGGTTCTGAAAATCTGATCAAGTGCGGAATGAAAGACAAGCACTTTTTGTGTCTTATTTTGTACACAATCTGGAAAAGTCACTTTGACTCATATACGAAATGCTATGTAACGTCACAAATGGGAAAATCACAAATACCTTTCTATTGACTAAATTACTGCAGTATGTTAGGCCTCATCATTGGGGTCTGTGTTTGAATGAATGATGCAGGTTGATGTTAGCAATATGCAGCAAAAGCAGTTATCTGCACTGAAGCACATAATGTGGCATGTTTTTCTACAGTACTTATTTTCGCATCTTGGAACTAGTCGGTGCTTGATACTCTAGATGCACAACTGCATTCCAGCAAATCTTGTCAGAGAGATCACGAAGAGTGAAAACATTAGAAAAAATGTACAGCGATATTTTCCAACAGCCAATGGTGAGCTGGATGGAAGAGTGCCCGCTGTTCATGGTCCGTGCCTTAACACAAAAACTCAGGTTAGGCCAAAAAAAAAAAAAATCCGGTCTCTGGTCAGACCAAAGTTCCGGAATTGACGCGGAGACGCGGCTTTTTTTTTTTTTTGCATTTTTTTTTTTTCTTCAAACTTGGATTGTACAGACAAGGTGGGTACTATTTTGCTTTTTTGGTGTCCTCATGTACATTGGTGTCCTCCATAATTTGCCTTGGTGCTTTCGATCATTTGCCTTGGTGCAATTTCTCGTTCCTTGGTGCTCTTTGGTAAAAAAAAATTGAGGAGGTGCGGAAATAGAGGGCGCTGTCGGAGCTACCGCGGAACATTTTGGAAAAAAAAAGATCGACGCGCATGATTAAAATCGACGCGCGCGCTGACCAGAGACCGACTTATTGGATTTTTTTGGCCTAAACCTGACTTTTTTTCACATTAAAGGCGTACTGTCTGTGCTCTTCAACGGGGGGTTTTCTCCTGATTTTCAGTATGTATGTTGAATTTTGACCTCTTCTAAAAAAACACAAAAGCAGGAATATAGCATGAACAGTATATTTTAAAATACATGACTTTAAAACTAATGTACAACATTTGCAAACATTAAAAGATGAAACTACGAAATTATGATGAAATAGCTTACTTGACTGTAAGTAAATAATAGCCTGAAGCATTGTGTGAAATCAGTGCGCCTGGTATGCTGTCATTTTTTAGAAAAGCGGAATTTTGTACTAGTCTGGTTCCCTGACTTGACAATTCCCTGACTTCTATAAATTGTCCCATTTCATCTGAAGCATAGGGTCCGAGAACCAGACTACAAGAACAGCATTTTTTCCCCCAGCGTCCATGCACACAAAACTTTAAACATGTCTTCAGAGCGATGTATAACCCCCAAACCTGTCCATTTCTGAAAATTACAGCAAAAGCAAATGTTGTATATTACCTTTAAGAGTCAACAACTATCGACTAGTTCAACCAGTGGAACTGATTTTCCAACTCTTGAGTGTGGAGTAACTAAAGGTGAACACACACATATCACAATTTTAAATGGTGACTCGAATAGAAAATCTCATACAGCAAAACTCTTCAAATTAGGTTTTGCCCTTCACCGACGTATAAACACTATACTCAGTGTGTTACCTCCCGAGTGAAAGTTGGAAAAAATCACTCGGGTGGGACTCGAACCCACGACCTCCTGCTTTCTAGTGCAGATGTCTTACCACTCGACCACCGAGCTAACAGGATCGGTTGGCTGGTTCGTGTCTAGCATTGGTCAATCGAGTGGTAAGACACCTGCACTAGAAAGCAGGAGGTCGTGTGTTCGAGTCCTCCCAAGTGATTTTGCCAACTTTCACTTGGGAGGTAACACACTGAGTATACAGTGTTTATACGTCGGTGAAGGGCAAAACCTAACTTGATTTACATCACCCCGACCCAAAATTCCATCTTACAAATAGCAAAAATCTTGCAGCTATGAAAAATTTCAGTCGATTATTAAGGTCAGTGCATAAATGAAGCATGATGTGACGGTGCACACTGCAGTGCAACAGAGTGATGAGCTGCATGACAGCACGGTGGTCAAGCAGGCAGGACATGATACAGTAAATGCTTACTGCCTCAGGAAGGGAGCCAGTCTCGCATTGGTCAACGGCGGCCCGCTGGTACCCTTGTCTGTCCTTGGTTTCTGGTTCTCGATCGCCTTCAGTCGCCGCGTGTGAAACGCACGGGCGATTTTGTCCCATTTGGAGCGGTTTTTCAGGATCTACGGTAAATGAAACAATAACACTGAATTATCTCTCTTCGCATGTTTTTTTTTTTTTTTTTTTTTTTACATTTTACAAGTCTTTAATTTGGCAAGGATGATAATGTCTTCTCACTAAAATCTATCCAATATTATCCCAGATGCATACAAATGATGAAAAATTCACTATCATGAATAAGGGAATAAATGTGTGCTTGGCCGGTTTTAAACACTATGTTTAAGACTGATTGGAGTCTGCATGCTAATAATTACCCGAGCCAAAGGTGATGGCCATTACTCCAATCGGTCTTAAACATAGTGTTTAATACCGGCCAAGCACATATTTATTCCCATTCATAAATACCTTTTCAGTCAAAAGATCACTACTGTTTGGGCCAAAAGTCAAAACAAGTCAAACATTATAAATTTCCAACAATTTTGTTCAACAAAACCCCCTCCAGCTATGCTATGGTATAGCCCTCTCGTAAACAAATCATGGACATGGACATTGGCGCGGGTAATTATCAGCATCCAGACTCCAACTGGTCTTAAACAGGTTGTTTAACACCTACCAAGCACATATTTATTCCCTAATTTAAACCACATAGGAAAAACTGACCAGATGTACTCATCATAATAATTATATAATTGAATAAATTGACGGGGGTGGGGTCTGAACCTGCGACTTCCAGAACACCGTACCAGTACTCTACTGACAGTCAGGGCTGGGTAGCACAGTTGGTTCAGCACCAGCAATCCAGAGGTCGCAGGTTCAAACCCTGCTCCAGACAACTTCTTTGTTCGATTGTACAATCCCTATCGTGAATACTGAAACTCACATCGAATGCACCGCCGCTGGCAGCGTGAGGGCGCTTCACTGGCATCATGATGACCGGGCAGTGGTCCACCGATTGGTTCATGCTGATTGGCCGAGCCTGCTGGAGTGGAATGAAGGCCTCTCCAATGAAGTCGTTGCTCCAGAGAACGTCGTAGTCCATGACCGTCAGGCTGATGACGCCGCCGGCCTCAATCAGCTCCAGAGGGACAGAGGGACTGGGGAGACAAAAATATTGGCAAAATAAACTTGGCATGGTCCTCATTGTTTCAAGAGTTCTTGGGGAATCTTCACAGAGGTAGTGTGTCACGCTTTAGCATTTGTGTCATTTCACAGGATTCACTTTTTGGAAAGATTTCTCAAGGATGAGAAAATTTATCAAGCCTTGCAGGTTTTTTGGCGTCATCATTTGAAAAAGCTTTATTCGGCAGTCATCTCGATCAGCAAAATACATTGCAGGGCTATGAATGCATGCCAAAATAAGGCTCGTCATGACATTTTTATCATAACTCCATGACGGTAAGGACTTTTTCAACACGCCATGAAGTAGGAATTGTCCGAACTCAGGGTATAAATAATCTGACCTGACTTATGTCCTCATGAATATAGAAATTATGAGAGATTGCTTCAAAAAATACAAATAGCTGTTAAATGGCAACAACGTCTTTGTGGAAATCATTGCTTGCTTTCCTCCATCCTTTGATCTGCTCTCCTTCAAGAAAACTGTCAATTCGTTTCTTCTGAATCTGTGAATCTCTGAAACAGTGAATTTCTTAGGACTCCATCCTATTACACTTTTCTTAAAAGCCCTTAACTTTAAGTGGCTATCAGACAAGTGATGGGCAATCAAAATTGAGTATTGCAAGTTATTAAATTTGTTGTTTGCCAAAAATTTACTTCAAGGTACCTCATAACTTCAAGATCATCTCATAACTTTCCAGCCACAAAATAACCTTTTCCCAAATTGTTTAAAACATGAGGGTATGGGCAATAACAGCCTAAAACCCAATAAATTTAAACTGATGACTCACATTTGGAATGTTTCATCAAACACAGGGTTGAGGTTGTGCTGTACATGTCTGGTCTGTTGGACCAGGGGCTTGTCGAAGGCTGTCTCTGGTAGGATCTCCACGATGATAAAAGGATCGCTGGTGCCGCTCCTGTCCATGCCTGGTAGATCCACTGCATTGCACACTGGGGAAAGAAAAGGGACCCTTCATTCAACCTCAGACCCTCATTTTTCAGAAGCACTTTGCACAAGCGCTCTACCATACTCCTTTTTTTTTCTAAGGAGCATAAAAATAGTGCTCCTCTAAGAATCCTGGTGAGGAATTTTCAAAATTGGACACAGCTGATGAAAGAGCAAAAGGATTTGTTTGCAATGGGCTCCGTGCACAAGTACCCCATCAACGGCCAGAAAAGGATACTTGGGGGTGACCTAGACTGGTTCCCGATCCATCCACTGTGTATTTCAAATGATATCCAAAAATATTTGGGTCGGGGATTAGTCTGGGAGACCATTGCAAGTTAAATTCGAACGTATTCGAACGTATTCACGTACCGACGACGCCTGACGCTCAGGAAATAAAAAAGTTCAGGAAATAAAAAAGTTGTGCGTACTTCGGGCGCGGACTACAGTGCCCACACTGTGTCCGGTCCAAGGGGCGTTCGGAAGTGGTACAAGCGCGCCCTCTTTTGTTGGTGCATGGAGCCCATTCTGTACAACACTCAACATTTTGCCTACCAATGGTTGGCAAAAACTTTGGATATGAAATAGCAAAAGAAAACTCTGTACCTTTCAAAAAGCTTGGTCAGTTTGTCCACATACAAAAGGAAAAATTATGTTTATATATGGGCAGGGCTCTCACTGGCCCATGTGACCTGGCCTACGTCTAGGTACCGGAAAGTCCGAGTCACTACTGTAGTAGGCAGCGATCGTATAGTGCTGCATGCAGTAGGTAGTAGGCAAGCCTTTAAAGCTGTGATGTATAGGGCTCGCTCAATGACGGCCATTTCTGTAGGAGAACTGCAACTGCATATTTTACACAATCTAGCACGCATTGCGCAGTGTTGAAAATGTTCCAAACACGCGCGCTTGTTGCTCGAAATGTGTTCGAAATATGACGCAGCTGATGCGTGTTATGCAAGTTGACGCTCAAAATGCATGTGGATGGTCTGTAGGAAATGACGTCATTTGAACGAGACCTATTGCAAAAACTGTGAGAAAAACATGCAACCGATACCTGCTGGTTGGTTTACGACAACAGTATATGGCACATATAGGCCAGCTGGGAGACCATTGCAAGTTAAATTTGAAGACGGTCAGAGCATACTGACCGGAACGTCGAGTTTGTACCTCTGGTTCTTTTCAGAACCATTCTCTTAGTTGAGAAATTATTCGCACATGGTGTTTCCGCAAACCTTTCATTAAACAGTATATGGTACAGGTAGTGACCATTATGCCACTTGATAAAGAATTTACTGCTATTTTACGTGAAGAAAAGCCCTACTCTCCAGCTTACAACACACAGCGTGATTGCTTACCAAACGTTTTCCCACTACAATGGTAGCTGATCACGGGGAAACGAGATGGTCATGTGGTGCTTTGACTTGACTGGGACTTATAAAAATGTCCATGCACGTGCCAGTTAGCACGACTTTTCTGCCTATAAATTGGCCTCAGGTTTGCATCCAAGACTGAAATTCTTACCTTTGATGAGGATTGTCTTCTCGCCTCCCGTCTCCTCCTTGCACGCCATCCTGATGCCAAGATGCCCAAAGTACTCCCCGGGCGTGGCCATATCCGTAGCCATCTCCTTGTAGTATCTCAGCATCAGGTCATGGGTGCTCAGGGAGTTCAGGTCCAGCTGGCTCAGGAGGAAGGAGTATTGGTAGCCCTGGATCTTGGCTGAGTCCAACGCCAGCCCCGGACGCTGGAAGTAGCTCTCTAGGGCTTCCAGACTCTGCCAATGAGAACCATGTACAAATAAGTTTGATCTCAAGACATATTCCAATAATCACCAGAAAGCAGTGTAAAATAGTGAATCTATACAATCTTTAACCATAAACCAATTTAACGCAACATATGCCCCAGACAATAAAAATCGCTCTCCTTTTTTTGTTTGTTCCTTTAAACATGCTCAAACATCTCTATTGAACATTTTTATATACACTGGAGGCCGAGTTGTAACCACATCGATCACAATTCAAATCACAAAAAAAGTTTGAAAAAGTTCACTTGAATACCTCGTAACTTGACTTGAATCTACATGATGCAATTGACTTATGATGCTTAAGATGGAATTTTGCGTCGGGGTGATGTAAATCAAATTAGGTTTTGCTGTGGTTCGAGTCCCACCCGAGTGATTTTTTCCAACTTTCACTCGGAAGGTAACACACTGAGTATACAGTGTTTATACGTCGGTGAAGGGCAAATCCTAATTTGATGACTTATGATGACCAGGGCTCAATTTCACGACTATGCTTACCGTTAGCGAAAACTCCCTGCTTCCTGTAGCAGAAAATTCTGTGCTTACGGTAAGCATATTTAACAGGTTAGCAAGGAATTTTGGCTTCTGCACATGCGTACTTCCCGTAACTACAGATTCTGTGCTTACAGGGTTTGCACAGAATATTTCTGCTAGCGCGGTTAGCACAAAAAGAATATCTGTGGTTAGCAGAGCCGTGAAATTGGGCCCTGATAATACTCACGACAGTATGGGAAATATGACTTGAATTAATGTAACAAGTCATGAAAAGGCTCTCTGAAGATGATCCACGATCTGAAATATATAGGGCAACACCAACCATTCAGAATAGCCCTGGATATTTGTTTGCATCGGAGAGTCTGAATTAACTGCGAAATCATCTTCGAAGCAACCTTTGAGTGGAAATGCCTACCTCTCTGAGCTCCTGATAGTACTGAGGCTGTTTGCCGATTTGCATAAGGGAGATGATCCCTCTCAAGAGGGCATTCCAGACCTCCTCAACGATGCGAGGGAAGATCTGTTGCATCAGTTGCTTGTACAGAGTCTCCAGGTTGTGGTCAATGTATGTGAAGAACTCGTCCAGATGCTGCAGGCACACAGGCAAAAAATTGAGACACTTAAAGCTCTAGTCCATCATTTGCAGCCATCCGAAAAGTAACTGGCGTAATTATTGTTGAAAAACAAACTTGGTTGAAAGATAGTAAGGGAACTAACTGTGAAATTATTCTTTCTGGGAAGCTGTCATTTTGAAGTAATTAACGAAAGAAGGCATTTCCAACGGTGATTCTTAAGAAGCACCGTAGGAAAATTTAAATTAGTAGTTTGTTTTGTTATTCAGCGCAGCGCGCACAAGTATTGGAACGACGCACACGCGCGCGCGGTTGTTATAATTCGTCGGATCAGTGCGGTACGTCGCATATAGCTGCAATTCAAAACAATTCAAAACATGATTCAGTAACTTTTGATTTGAAATTGAGATCTTAGAATGTTATTTTTCTCAGAATGTACAGCTGAAGTTTAGCTGAAACTTCATCAGGTTAGTTGCTCAGTATCCTTCATTAGATTTTGAACTCTTTTGTTGCTTCAAACGAACAAAATGCACAAATTACAAATGATGGACTGTAGCTTTAAAGGGCTGTAATGCCTTTTCTCGACTGATATCTAGATAAGTCTTGTCACAAATGATATGGAATCTGTGCACAAGTACTTCCTTCAATGGTAAACATAGAAATGAAAGGTAGGCAGACTTTTGAACACAACTGCTTAAGTATGCCTGATACTCATGCAAAGAATGCTATGATTTGTGCACATTCAATTGAAACTATGGGGAGTCAGGTTGGCACAGTGGTTTATTTTCTTGACTTCCACCTCAATGGTCCGGGTTTGATTTCCGCTCTGCTCCATATGTGGATTAGGTTTTCAGTCCCAACCTGATTCTGTGGGTTTCCCCAGAACATTCTTCTGGGCTTTTCCTCCCACGCCTAAAAACTGTAATTTCTTCTCATTTTCTTCTCTCTACATGTTTCTTCACGCTTGCAAGCTACAGTGCCTAGGGTGCTTTTGATGAATCCTTGGTTTCATTAGGCGAAATAAAAACACCAACATGTTTGGGGTCCTGCCTTTTAAAAAAAGGTCCTTTTTTCCCCTCCAAAATTGCCACCCGACCAGGTATTTTTCAAGATGGCCGCCAGTTTTTTTAAAAATGGCCCCCACTGGACTCAGAAAATAACATAACAGCTTTATATGGGCTAGATGCAACAGATATAGAGGCCAAAATGATGTCAATGTTGAAAATTTATCATTTTTTCGGTAAAAAAAACAAAACAAAAAACAGGAGGCGGCCTCCACAAAGCAAGCGCTTGGGGACGCTAAACATGTTCTTTTTTTTATTTCGCCTTACCACAAATAATTAATACCAGTCATGCAAATTTCAAGCCATACACATGCGAGCGTGCACGTACAGTGTCTCAAACATGGAGCTTAGAAGTGTTCACAAAGCACCTCCTGACAAATCTATCGCTCATGAATGGAGTCTTTTGAAACTCTTCAGCTCACCTCCTCTTTGGCCCCACCATCCCCTCTAGGGTTGACCACCTTCCCCAAGACCTTGATGACCTCCTGGCACATCTTGTCGGCAATCTTCCTCTCCAGCAGGCCGGACATGTTGATGATGTCCCTGCTAGCCTTGGTGGTCATCCGCTGCAGGGTGCTGTAGGTCAGCTTGCCGGCCGCCAGGTTGTCGTGGTGGCTGGCCAGGCTGTTGACGGTCTGCTCCCAGTCCAAGAGGACGGGGAGGTTGTCCAGGTAGGCGCGGACGTGCTCGATGTTGTTCAGGGTGATGCACAGCTGATAGGGAAAGATGGGGAAATAGTTTTCTTATAAATGATGTGGTGCTTGTATAGTGCTTTACGCCAAAGGTCTCAATGTGCTTTACAAATTATTACCCCTGTTCATCAGGCTATGAGACCAGTTTTTGCAGCAGCTCCAGATCAGCGCATTCTGGTCTCTACCTTCACAGGTACCCATTTATACTCCTGGGTGGAGAGAGGCAATTGTAGTTAAGTGTCTTGCCCAAGAACACAAGCACTGTGTTCCCCGTCAGGGTTCAAACCAACGTACCACAGCACGGGAGGCGAACACCATAACCATTGGACCACAGCGCTCCACTATTGCATTGTATTTGGCTTTAGTGCATATTTCTTACTCAAACGTAAGCTTGTTTGTACTTATTTATTTTCTCAGCAAAAACAAAGTAGCTGGTCTATATCACTGCTCCTGATGTTACCTTTAAATCTCTCTTCACACATAGAATAATCCATTACCTTGTCTTTGATGTCAAACTGTCCACTGTTGCTGCGATAGAAGCCGTTTTCCTCCAACTTCTTGTGAATCGAGGCGGCGTACAACTTGGCACCTTCACAAATCAGCTGTGAATATATTAAAATATTGAAAACCCATAACTTTTTCGTTCTTATAACTTTGAACAGTCGAAAATTGAATCTGCATCAATCAAAGTTCCACAAAACAACAAAACAGGACAAAGATACTCTCGCAGTGAGAACAGACATACAGAAAAACGTTAACACCGAAAAGTGGATGATGATCAGAACACATAAAACAGACAGCAAACGTCAAAGCAAAATGCAGGACAACGTCAAAGCAAAATGCAGGAAAACTTTGTTACACAGAGAAACCAAATGATGCTCACATCTGTAATTTTGGTGATGGCCATACACCGACTGTCTACTCCTTCGAAGCCTATCTTTTGCCATTCCTCCGTTACCTTTCGAAAGAATATAGGACACATTTCAGGATTTTTAGAGGAAATTGCTATTAATTATAAAAAAAATAATTTAAGTAAAAGGTATTCTTGTATATTTCAAAGACAATTTAGGTTACATGTATGTGAACAAAAGAAAAGAAAAGGTACCAATGAGATAGCAAAGAGATTTTAACAAAATCAAAACAAAGGCATCGAAAAATTGATACACATCTAGTACTGTGCATGCTTTAATAATTCAGTATTTGAATACTGAAACTTGGACTTGATCTACATTCGTATATTCGACCAGTGACATGGAGGTAACAAGTTTTTATGAATATGATGTATGTATCAATATACTTGACTAGCTGATGTTTGACAGATTTTAAGATGCAAGTTACAGCTAATATTCTTCATGGAAGCTCGCAAATCATGGGTTTAAAGTTGCTGTCCACAAAAACACATTTCTGCATGTTTCTCTTTTGAAGCAACAAAAGTCATCAAAATCTAAAGACAGGTCTAAAAAACATCTAACCTGATGAAGTTTAAGCTTTTTCAATGCTGTTTATTCTGAGAAAACAATAGTCTAGGATCTCGATATCAATTGAAAAAATTGCCGACTTGTGTTTTGAAATGTGCCCAAAACGTTCTCATTTTAAATTGACGCATCTTTGGATATGATCTCTTTATTATTTTCTTCAAAATGACAGCTTGCCAGAAAGAATAATTTCACAGGGAGTTTAGTGCCATTACTATCTTTATACCAAGTATGCTTTTCAACAATAATTACGTCAGTTACTGTTTGATAGCTGCAAATGATCTACTCTACCTCTAAAGTTACATCACAGACATTTTTCATCATCTTCTTCAGACAGCTCACAATTTTGAAGTTTCTATTTAGTACAATGCTATTCAATATTTGTCGGATGATCAAATATTTGGATATTCATTATATTTGGCGCAGCTCTATAAATAGCTACCAAAGGACTGGATAAGTTCAAATGGTGGAGCACCAATTTGATATTCCGGAGGTTGCAGGTTCACATCCTACTCAAAGCAGTCTTTTTTCACTATAAAATATGACTATGAAATAAAAAAAATACAACAAAATGAGGATTTATAGCAAAATCAAACCTTTGCAAAACAGGACTGGGCATCGACGGCCGAGTTGGAGTACTTGACCACGCTATGGACCAGCGCAACATCCTTATCCATCTCCAGAGCTCTGCGGACGCGGTCAAACGTCTCGTACTTGAAGGTGACCAACCAGAAGATGAGGCCCTCCTGGAACCAGGTGTGGTAGTTGGTCATCTCAAGACCGTCACTGCAAGGAGGAAAAGAAAAGAAACAAAACAAGCAATCTTGATTAAGATGAGCCCGTCACAAGTATCATTGGATGAGCAGTAACAAAAGTTCATTTGAACTTCTTGTGTCTTGACTTGCAAGACATGAGACTGGTTAACTAGAAATAGACTTGTGGGATACAAAGGATGGGAATCTTGCAAAAAAAATGGTTTCTTAGGCCAAAAAAAAAAGGTCTCCGGTTTCTGGTATGCGCGCGCGTCGCCGTAGCCATGTGCGTCGGCAAAATGAAAAAGTTTTTTTTTCAATACAAGATGATGTCTCAAAACCGCCAAACTCACTGGTTTGAACTCAAATCCTGCTGCTGCACAATTTTAACGTGTTTTTAGATGGGGTTATGATCGAGAATAAGCTTTATGTGTCCTCTCTGGACTCCCATATATTTGCACTACGTTTAGTCGGGCACCATTTGCAGTCATCAGCCGACATTTGAAGCCCCCCCCCAAAAAAAACAGGTAAAAAAAAAAAAAAGCCGCGTCGCCGCACCACTTTTGGGACAAGCTCCATACCAGAAACCGGAGACTTTTTTTTTTTGGCCTTAGATCCAATATGCCATTTTGTTGAGTTACATCACTGGTGAAAAGACCCTACCTACCATGTATGGTTGTTAGCTTTCAACACCGAGTACATCTTCTTAACAGTCATGTACAGCTTGAGGCTGGCCTTGCTGGATTCGGCGATGTTTTCGGGAAACTTCTGATAGCGGACCTGGTACTGGTTGAGCTGGTTCAGAACATCTCGCAGACTGGCTGAGATCATACGATCCGTCTCACCGGCAACTACTTTATTGTAGTCGACGGTGAACCTGTCAAGATGATGATGCCATATGTTTGAATTGTGTGAACATTAGCGTTTAGTACTAATTTTTGATGCTACAGCTTAACCCAAATTGTCCGGCCTGTCACTCCCTGTATCGCCCCAGAACGTTTTATGGATTCTTCAGGGAATAGGTACAAAGTATGGGGATTTATCACTGGTGTCTATGGGAATTCATTTACTTGGCTGCACTCTTATGGACTATGCTGTGCAGGATGATGCTGTGTGGCCAATTGACAGGAAGGACACTGACGTGCACTAACACGTGAACGCTCGCTATATGCTATGCATATGACATGACAATCACCCTCTTATTCAGGCTTACCTCATAAAGAAGTTTTGGTATTCCTTGGTTGGCCTGAGTACAGCCATCATGTCGCCCATCCCCTCCCCGAGTCTATCCAACAACTTCAGCAAATCAGCTGGCTTCTAAAAACAACACCGGGAGTAAAACAAAATCAAATACAAACAGAAGTTTAACGTTTGTGCAATTTTTCGAGTAGTGCCAGATCAGGCAATATACTCAGTAATTGTTGACTGGTTACATAGCCTTGCCGAGGTTATCAGGTTCATCAGAGCACACACAAAAAATGGCAGCTTCGTTGCTTTCAGACTCAGGAAAAAGGACCTTCTATGGTCACTCACAGTCTCTTTGGGTGCATAGTCGTGCACTAGTGACCTCATGCCAGTCAATATTTTGTATGTTATATAACGTGCTTACCAGTGATCCCTCAGGTTGGGGTAGCTCTTCCAGCTTGTTACTGAGCCACCTCCGCGTGTCGGATTCTATGGCCCCTTCCAAGAGTTTACGGACTCGCTGGTGGGGGATTGAGTTGCGATCCTTCCATACCTTCATCTGTAGCAGGCTGGAGATGTTGTTTAATCTGAATTGAATGGGGACACATTTCAGTTTAAAGGGAATATACAACATTTGCAAACACCAAAAAATAAAACTACCAAGTTTTTACGAAATACCTTACTAGGATGTTGGTAAATGACAGTCTAAAGCATCCTGTAAAATTATGGCACCTGTTGTGAAGTCAAGAAAATGGTATTTTTGTATACATTTCCAACAGTGGTCGGCCGATCACCGTTGGAAAAACCTAACTATTTTTCAACTACTGCTCCAACTTTACACTTTTTTCAGTCCAAATTTTGTTGGCTATTGGTTACATGTTCATGAACGGGTGCAGGCCAGCTAGACTGGTTCCCAATACCTTACAATTTTCCGGCATCTATAAATTGATCCATTTTATCCTTAGTGGAGTCAAGGAACCAGACTACTGCCGGGGGAGTTGAACATTTTTGTTTTTCTTGGTTTTTTCAGCATTTTCGAATACAAAACTTCAAACATGTCAGTGTAACAATATTTGATCTATTATACTAACCCCTCAAAAAGTTCATTTCTGAAAGTTACAGCAAAAGCCAATGATGTACATTCCCTTCAAACTACTGGAGCTTTCTTTTGCTATATCACTGCCATTATTAACCCTAACCCACCTCAATCCTCCAAAAACATCCTGGCGGTTTTGGAGGATTTGCGAGGATTGAGGATGAATGGTGTTTGAAAAATGTGAGAATTAGGATTTTTGGAAGATTGAGGATGGTTCCTAGCAAAATTGGGCCTAGGAGCTTAGGGTTAAGGATTGTCCGTTTTGCAAAATGAAAGGATAATTGTTAAACAACATTTTGTAGAAACGCAGTGTATACAATCCACAGATAATGCTAAAAATATATTGTCCTACACACTGATTGTGTAAAATGTGCCATTGTGGACCAAATCATTACTAACCAACCAGTATTATGAATGTTAAGTGTAGCCTCCCTTACAATGTTTTCAAAATGGTTTTCACCTTTTTTTAAGGTCTGTAGATAAAATTGGTCGGAAACTGCAATTAGCAAAGAATTTGCAGACTTCAGTTTGCTGCTGTCAGACATTGCTACTTACACTTTTATAATTTTTCTACTCCCTCTTCCAGTGAATTAACTGAGAAATGAAAACGCGAGTTTCCTTAAATGTGTTCAAAAAACACTGGTGAACTACACTCAACCAAACAAGAAAAGCCCCCCGTTAATACATTTTCGTCCAACTGAAAAACTACTGGCCACGTCTCGCTCAAATAACAACTAATCAGTACAGAAATTCCTTAGCAATCCAGCCATACTCTTTATTTGGCCTAAAACAGTGATAATGTGCACAAAATTATGCAATTTATGACAAATGCTACCGAAAACAAAAGTTGCACTTTTGTATATGTGCAAGGTGAGTGTGAACCACAACTTGCACGTATACAAAAGTGCAACTGTTTTCGGTAGCATTTGTCACAAATTTCATAAATTCGTACACATTATCATTGTTTTATGCCAAATAAAGAGTATGGCTGGATTGCTAAGGAATTTCTGTACTGATCAGTTGTTATTTGAGTGAGATGTGCCCAGTAGTTTTTTAAATAGACAAAAGTGTACTTGAAATTGATCATGACTCATCACAAGTCAATCACAACTCTTCTAGTCAACTCACTCACTATTCAAATGAGCTTTGACAAAGGCACTCCTTCGTGACTGGTCATCTGCATTTCTCGTGACTGGGCCCATGACCTGACTTGTGATTTACTTGTGATTGGATTTGTGATTCATCACCGCAAGTGCCTCTACTACAACACTACAATCCTGGCCAAATCTCACTGGGCCCCCAAGCCCCCGGCCCCCGTTCAATGTTGTCTCTCATTGCGCGGTGTGTGCTCCATCAGCTGGAGAGAACAACATTGACCGGGGGAGCGGGGGAGTGGGTGACCGTGGCAATCTCAGGAAGTGTCCCAACCATTTTGGCCGGGATTGTAGCTACTCTACAATGCTCAGTACCTGCATTTTGACTTGAGAATGTCCAAGACTTGTACGTTGGAGGGAGGGAAGAGGGCCGGGCAGTCCACCACAGGAGACATACAGTAGTCAATGTAGGTGGATATCGATGACTCCGTCACCTCAAGCTGTTATCAGGGAAAAAAAGATCCAAATCAATAGAACAGTCAGCATTACTAAGAAACTTACTTGAAAATCCTTGAAACTGGAAATAGGTACACCTCTGCATCAAATACAACAATGTCAAGGTATTTAAAAGAATTGAAAGAAAGAAACCAACAGGGTGTGGTGGGAATGCAGAATTTAAAGGATTAATCCTAACTCCCTTGGTTTGTTTTTTAACTGATCCTATCTGATGAATCCATGAAATCTCAACACTGTGCAGTAGACACAATGGTACATTCTCTGGGCTTGAAACCAAACTGGGATGCAATGTATGGGTGTATGGCTATGGGCGCAGCGCACAACTACTCCTTCAACGGTCATAAAAGGAGAGTTGGGGGAGACCTAGACTGGTTCCCGGTCCATCCACTGGGTATTTCAAGTGATCCAAAGTTATTGGGGGCAGGGATTAGTCTTGCAGACCATCGCTTTGGCACATTCAGGAAATTGTGCGTACTTCGTGCGCGAACCAGTACAGCACGCACATCCTGTGTATCCCGTCCATGGGGCTCTCAAAAGTGGTAAAAACGCGCCCTCTTTTGTTGGCGCACGGTGCGCATAGAGTCAATGCTATAGAACAGCGCTTAGAGACCACTCTCCAGAGTTCCAGTGGGACAAACATACAGCATGCCCGTACTGGTATGGTATGGGGCAAAGTATACAACTTATTTTGTTCTGAACATGCGAAACGTCTTTGCGCGAGCATTGTCAGCAATGCACTCGCGAGTCCCTCCCGTGGTCTCCCCCAACTCCCCCTCCATAAATGTTGATGAGGGGGTAGTTACGCAAGGAGTCCATATGATACTGATTCCATCTTTATCATGTAAAATCAGGTTGTTAGATTTTGGTAGATTTGGGATTGTTAGGGTTTATCGAGGAAAAACAAGGTTTTTTGAAGGGCAGGGGAAAAAGTTAGTTACAGATACTCAGGCATGCACGTGACTCAAGAATCAAACAAAATATCACAAAAGTAAACGGCATGCATGAAAGCCACCAACATTCCTATAAACAATTTTAGTTTTCTAAGGCATTTTAATTTGATGTCAAAAATCAAGAAAAGTAGAGAGGATTTGTTAAATTCATGCAAAGAAATAAGAATTTAAACAATGAGTGATGGCAAAATGAAGAGTGGACAAAAAAAATCGTGCACAAAATACTTAAAACAATTATCATGCAAAGTAAAACCCATCAAAGTCGGATTATATAAGTCAAACATGCAGGGAAACAGGGGAGAATGTGTGCAAGATTAACACAGACAAATGTTAGGACTTCAACCAGTTATCATCACCTTGCCGTCTGTTCCATAAGCCATGTGTTTATATCAGTCCTGCCAGGAAAATACATTGAATACATTTGAAGACGTCTAGGCAAATTACAGCATGTAAAATCAAAGCAAAGGTATTTCTGTACACTTGGATTGGACTGGTTAAAATTAACACTGAAATTCATACCACCCTAACAGAGCTGGGGAAGCAGGGAGGGGGAGGGATGAAACTCCGTCCACTTCCTCAAGTTTATTTAATGCTTTCGTTGATGGCTTCAATTTCCTATGCTGAACTTTTGTGACTTCATATATAGTGGCATAGGTGGCATGGGTGGCTTGTGCGTAAAGCGCTCGCCTCTCACCAAGGTGACCACGGTTCGAATCCTGGCCGCGAATCGCATGTGAGTAGAGTTGTGCGTTGGTTCTCTCCTGTGCCACGAGGGTTTTTCTCCGGGCCCTCCGGTTTTCCTCCCTCCGGAAAAATCAAACACTTTCGATCTCAGGCTGTGCTCCGTGGTCATACATGGGTCGATGTGGCCGGCAGCCATAGGCGCCTTTACGTGCCAGCGGCCCGACCACGTTTTAGCTGCTTCCTTCGCAATTCAGCATACCAGCTGCGAGTAAGGATGATTAGCCTCCCAAATTATTATTATTATTATTTTATCATCCAGCATACATTTTAAAAGTGAATTATTAAATACCTAAGACAGTTTACCCATTCCTATTGGTCAAGAGCTCGTCACGTAACCGGCTGGTCTTCAACACTGTTCCAGTGTCACATGAAATTTTTACTCCTATGAAATCTGGTGCCAGCACCGTTTTGTTGGTTGAACGTTCACAATCCTCACGTAGGCATGTGCAATACTACCAGTGAGTCTGTATTTCATGGTCCTAAATTCACAATACACTGGTACATCTGCGTTCTGCGCTACATCACGCAGTATGCACGATGCGCACGCCAATCTCCATATAAGGAGTTTTTTACCAGAGGGCGTTACTATTGTATAGAGGGGTGTTTTGTTCAGTGAAAATGTATATTTTTTTACTTGTTTTGACTTTTGAACCGCTAATTAGTTTTGAATTTTTTTTTTACCGAAAAAGTATTTATGAATGGCATTTTCCCCCGCTTTTGGCTCGGGTAATTATCAGCATCCAGACTCCAACTGGTCTTAAACAGATTGTTTAATACCTCCCAAGCACATATTTATTCCCTTACTTACATGTATGCCTAGAGGAAATGTGGTTGACTCCAAGTCAGCCCTACTTTTTAAAGCTGAATGTCAAGATGTATACGCAAAGCCTATCATGAGCCAATGTGGCCAATCAGGCCGGCGTTTATCTCCGGTTTCAGTGGCATGAAACGACTGAGAATATTGCAATATCCCCTTGGATAGGAGCCAGTGCATAGCAGGCTACTCCTCAACTGTTGTTGTTCTTGTTGTACTGAAACTGGCGCTTATGTCACATTAGACTGTGCCTTCTGCGCCATTAACTGTGCGTGGTTTCTGCATTGAAACTTAATCGACACTGGCACACTCCCCAGCTAATGCCGGTACCCATTTATATACTCCTGAGTGGAGAGACGCAAGTGGGGGAGACGTGACTTGCCCAAGGACACAACATATGGATTCGAACCCCTGACCCTCTGATCGTTAAGTCACGGACCTTAACCACTTGGCCACACTTCCCAACGATCAAGACAGCCCATGGCCTTAATGTTTTGAGCAGGGAGAAAAATCATAGACTAAACGAAGTCTTACCTCGTATGAGAGAAACTGTGGGTTCTCAGCGTAGATCTGAGTGACGTCCTTGGCCTCGTTGCTGTAGATGGAGAAGGTGGTTTCTGCAATCATTTCAGCATGGACGTGGAACATGGCCTCACGTAGGGCACGGTCCATCAAAGAGGCATCGGAATCTTCTTTGCCCTGCAGAAAAAAAACCATTGCAAACAACCTTTACTAGTCTGGATATGAACCTTCAAGCTCAAGAAAAAGAAAGAATTCAGTGTTTTACCAACTGAACTCTTTCCCATTTTGTCAATGTCTTTGTTCAGGGGGCACTGGTCAGAACCCATTTTAGAATGAAACTCCATGTTAGAATGAAATTGGGAAGAGATACTATATATTTTGTCTGTCCTTTTATTGAATTCATATCAATCATTTCTTATGCAATTATTAGATTTTTTGTAAAATGTACAATCAGCGGCATAACTAGAGTTAAATTGTAGAGGGGCACCTGGGGTACATCAATTTTTCAAGGGGGGGGGGGCACTGAAGGCAAGTGATATATTGCTTTTGTGCAATTCATGATTTCAAGATAGTTGCGCCACTGTGTTGCCTGTTGCAAAACCTAATTTTTGGCAAGTGACATAACTGCAACACTCATGACATTAGCGACAGGTGTGGCATTAACATATGTACGTTAATGACAACAATGACAGATGTGACAATCAACAGTAAAAAATGGTCAGAATTGTGAAAGGCGTGACAATCACAAGTGACACTGATGACAATTGTGGAAGGTGTGACAATTAACATGACAACAGTGACAACATTTGTGACAATTAGCAGTAACACTAAAGCACAATAGTCACATAGACGCGACAACAATAACCCTAATGACCATGGTCGCAGATGTGACATTTAAAACTTTGACAATGGTGACATTTGTGACAATAAACAGTAACACTAATCATTTTGGTAATAGGTGTGACGACAATAACCCTTATGACAATGATGACAGATGTGACAACAATAACCCTAATGATAACGGTGACAGATGTGACAATTTATACCATGATAACGGTGACAATTAACAATGATTACGACAGTGACGTTTGTGACAATTTAACTTATAATGACCTTTTCTTCTCCCGGTTTGCTATTGACGTCCTTCTGTCCTTTCTCCTCCCCGGCCCTCTGGATGTTGTCCAGTGACTCCGGCAGGCTGTTGACGGACACCGAGTCCACCTCGTCTCTCCCTAAACTGTTGATGGACAGCCTTGTGAAGGACAGAAAGTCATAGGCCGGGGAGCTCTGGTGGTGGTGAAACTCCAACAGGGACGAGAGATTTCTACACAATGAGATAAAAAAAAGAATCACATTAGATATGTGATACATGTGCATTTAAGGTATGTACGATCATTTGCGTTTTGAGAATTGTTTTTTTGTTTGAAGCAACAAAATCGTTTAAAATCTTAAGTAGGGTGCTCAGTATAACAATTAACCTGTTAAAGTTTCAGTTCAGTGGATACTATAAGTTTTGAGAAAACAGAGAAAACGTGTGCATTATTTTGTTCTCCTAACTGGATTTTGTTGCTCATGTATAAAAAAAAGTGTGGCCGTGGGCAGCCATTTTGAAACCACCTTCAATGTTAGTTTCTCCAAAACGATACCATTTCAAAAATTTGATACCAGTTCTGTCTTTACTTTGAGCAAAATTTGTGTTAGTATGTGGTAATTTTTCGGGTAACTTCAAATATTCCTAAGTGGTTTTAACTGTTCAAAATGATTTGTGCGACAATTAATTGGAATTTGCAATGGTTTATACACCAAAATGTCCATTTTTAATATTTTAAGCATTGGTTTTACAATAAAAAGTTTTATAACACAATACAAGAAATCAATATGAATTTAAACAAAGAAATTAACTGGAGTTTGGTTTGAACCTTAAACCGCCATAAAAAAGTACCACATTGGCATTTTCTCAATTCATCAATATGCATGATGCGATCAAGCTAAATGAGTCGTTTGTCAGGAACTTTCATTTGGAGATTCAGGCCAAAATAGGGCCACTTCATCACATCACTTCCATCCCATCTCTTGGTGTTCCACCTTCCATAATTTTTGAACTAAAGATGGTATCAGCATGCAGTTTTCACAGCAGTAATGCTGAGATTGTGCTCTTTTAAAATCTGTAAAAAAAAATTGACCGGGGTCGACAAATGACTCATTTAGCTTGATCACTTTCACATATATCTTTGTTCGTGTGTCATTTAATCAGAAAAATAATTTAAAGTGCACAACTTCCCAAAATTGAATGACTCAAGCTTGTGCAACACCATCTTTCAATTTAACAGGCTCTCTGTGTCAGCTCTTTTATATTTGGAAGTAAAAAGAAAAAGAATATCTAGTGATCCGTACATGAGTGTTTGTGAGAGTTTGGAGATGCCCTGTTGTATGGCGAAGCAGTTCAGCAGGTGTCGGCTGATGTCAGGCAGCTTACCATCCCAGGGACCTTTGGCTTCCTGCAACATGACAAAAAACGAAAACATCAACAAACATGAAAAAGTCACACTTTACCACTTCACCAGGATTATTTTTGGCGTAAGTTTCGATTTTCGCAAAAGGCAAGATTTTCCAGCCAACTTCTAATATACAGCCAAATGCCACAAATACTGATTCGCAACAGTCATTTCAACAGTATTTGCAGGATATTTCTTGCCGAAACCTCATATGTTTCAATACTCTGAGGTGTGCACTGGAGTGTAAATTGCAGAACAGTAGGCCTAGTGCACAGTGGCCAATTCAAGATCAACACACGGTCCGCCTCCATAGACTTCACAGACTTTGTGTGTGTGTGTATACAAAAGGTGTGAGGGATTAGCGTGTTTAGACGTCACCCGGAGGTGAGTCGAGGCAATCTTGACGTCTTAACCCGTCAGCCGTGCCTCTGTATAAAAACAGCCAGTACGTGTTATCACGACCTCCAATGCAACCTAGTTAACTACAAATTCTTCCTTTTGCACCTGAGGCACATCAAACCTTTAGTCACTGTAACAGTACAGTCTCTTGCAAACACACCAGAGTGACTGTGTACCAATGTTGTACCAATTTCAGCAATGTGAAATATCGGTCTAACTGGTACAATGGGCATTAATCCTGAGGAAAGCTAGACTATCTGATCTGTGTACAAAGGCTTTGGATCATACATTACAGGTAGCTATCTGAGCTTGTAGGCCAAAAGGATATATGCTGAAAATGTCCAAGTATCTGCAAAAAAAAAACTTGGACTGCAGAACAGGTCTCAGTCATTCTGCTTGATGTTCAGGCTTGATTCCTACTCTACCCCTTGTCTGGCTTATCATTTAGAAAACCTAGTGACTCAGAGAAGGAATTGACAAGAAGTGTAAACAAGGACAGTTTATATTGATTCATAATGCTAGTGATACATACGCTGATATATTTTTGGCCTTCGTATCTGTAGACGTTTGAAGCCAACTGATGATAGAATGTCAGCATGGAGGAGTTTCCTGCCTTGCAGTAATCCTAAAACAACAGAAAAAAGAGAGACTTTATATGAACTAGTTTTTAATAGTGTGTCTTGTACATTTTTAGGTCCAAAAACCTTTTTCCTTTGCATTTCAGTCTTTCTTGGCTAGTGTAAACTCTTTTTTTTTTTGCATGTAACCTGTAGGCTGTAGGGTTGGACATACTAGACATCCTATCAATACGAACATCAACATAAGTAACGTACGCATTTTGAACAAAATTGCTGAAACTATAGTTCAGGTCAGACACAGACCATTGGAATTTCATTGTACTGGAGGTGGATCTTGCCAAAATATGGTAGTGTCAATCTGGCACCAATATTGAATTAGTATTCCTGGTACGAGAATTCACAACCCTTCAATCATTCTATACTCAAAACTAAAATACAGGGTGAGTAAAAAAAACCTGAAACCCAAATGTTGGGACCATTGTTTTAGTGAAGTTCTACATGTAGCACTTTAAAAATCTAGGATTTGAAAGCCCAATTCATAAGCTTTTTTTTATTACATGAATCATTGAAATCACACATGTAATTTTCAAGTGACAGAATTTTAAACAAAACCACCGTTTTAATGTTCTGTCCACGGATCACAAAAAGGTAAGTGTTCTTTCAGCAAAACAAAAACAAATCACATAGGGATGTGTGTGAATTGTTTACGTTATGCTTATAGAACGCACACCTTTTTGTGATCCGTGGACAGAACTTTAAAGCGTTGGCTGTGTTTAAAATTCCGTAACTTGAAAAGTACATAAGTGATTTGAATGATTCTTTTACTAAAAGAAAGCTTATGAATTGAGCTTTCTTATCCTTGATTTTGAAAGTGCTACATGCAGAAATTCACTAAAACAATAGTCCCGACATTTGAGTTTCGTTTTTTTTTTACTCACCCTGTAGAACATTGCACTACTGCAGCACAAAAAAGTGTGAATGCAAGCTTATCTGTAATTCCACACACAAGTTAAAAGACGTGAGGTAGTAATGGCAACATCCCAAATATACATAAAGCTGAAAAATAAATGTTTGCTTTGAATAATGTCTGAAATTTACACAATTTCTTCGCAACAAAGAGATGCCTCAACTGTTTGGGATCTCAATGTGATAAACCATGAATACATGTTTAAAAGCATGAAATGTAGCCTCAACATACAAAACTATGAAAATATCCATACCTCCTCCCGGACAAACTGTAGTCGCATGTGGCACTTCCCCCCGTGGCTCGGTCCCGATCCCTTAGAGTTGATCTGCAGTGTGTACCACTGATCCACGCGGGTTGCTGCTGGGAGGTCGGTTAGCGAAATAACGACCTGGCCTAAGAAGTCGTCTGTGTTCTTGTTGATACCATGCTTGATGTGGCGAAACAGACTGCAACGACAAAGACCTTGATTTTAGTTTTTCTTTACATTGGGTTTTTACAAGATGAGAAATTTTTAAGTTTAAATTTTTTTTTTAATTTCTTCGCTAAATTTGCACTTCGTTCACAGAAAAAAAAGATGATGGATGTATACAATTTGGAAAAGAACATTTTCCAGTTTATTATTATCATTAGTCATTTCTGGTAATGAAACCAAGGATCCCTCAAAAGCGCCATAGGCACTGTAGCTCAAAAGCCTGAAGAAACCTGTGGAGAGAAGACAATGAGAAGAAATTACAGTTTTAGAGGTGGGAGGAAAAGCCCAGATGAAAATTCCGGGGAAACCCATGGAATCAGGTAGGGACTGGAACCCAATCCACATATTGGCCCAGGCGAGATATGAACCTGGGTCACAGAGGTGGAAGGCGAGGAAAGTACCGCTTTGCCAACCTGACTCCCCAAGCTATTTATTCACCAAGCTCTTAAAAGCTCTTTCACGGACATCACATAATGATGGAATTACCCTTTTGTTGTTGCACTAGTTATTGGTACATTTGTTTTGGCAAGATTTCACCTGCACAATCTGGGAAGAAACATTCTGATTGCAAGAAAGAAATTTGCTTCACTTACTTTTTAATGCCTGCCATTTTGTGGTCCGACTCCACACTTTTCCAGGCCTGCCAGAGATTGGTCTCCTCGTCCATGTCCCACATAGTCAGAGTCAGCTCCGTGTCTCGTATTGATGATATCGGGCTACAGAACGACGTAAATCAACAAGAAATCACAAAATCATTCGAAGAAATTTAAGACATTATCAGACAATTATGGATTGATAAGACCATTATGATTATAAGACCATCTGGAGGTTTTTGCATCAGACCTCTTGCCCTGTTTACCACTTTGAGTAAGATTGTAAGTGATTTTTTGTTTTCAAGTTTAAAGTGTTTTTCAAGTTTTAAGTGCGAGTGCAAACAGATACTGGAATCAGGCACACTTATGAAATAACTAACCAGAAAACAAACAATTTCAAATGTCCCGCGCTGCAAATTTGTCGACCATCTCCCACAATGCACTGGGAAAAATGAACTCTCTGCGGCCAACTCTTGGTGGCGCACTGCATTGTGAAACGCCCGAATTGATGGAGCATTTCAGATTTGATATCAATGAGACGAGATGTGACTTTGCACCTGATTAAAATTTTAATTCAACTATGAGAGCCCCTTTTACATTTTGAATCGACAAACGATATCCCGGGGTTACACAGAGAAACTCTTTTTGATAAGACTGACCGACAAAAGAACTTGACTTACATGTCAAAGCTTTCGTTCCACACGGGATGCAGCGTGGCCTTCTGACAGGTTGTCTTGAAGACGCACTCTGCCTCCATTGACTGGCTGTGTACGGGAGACCTAGGTGACGCAATGCCGCTCCCGTCCGCAGAATTCTTGCGCTTGTGCAGCCTGCTGGTCACCGTTAGAGTGTCCGATCTCTGCTTTTGGAACTGGTGGGCGACAGAGTTGGACGTGGCGTCGTCCGATTTCTTCCTCCCTCCTTTCTTGAAGCTCCGTCTGCCGTCCGAGTTCCTCCGGGAGACCTTCTCGGAGCCGGGGACTGGGGGCGTGGGGGCAGGGCACGTGGGGTCATCTGGGAAGGAGTTCCAGTGGGTGAGGTGGGGGTGCTTCTCATGGGATGGGGAGTGGTGGTGCTCATCCTTGCATACGGTCAGGAGGCAGTAGGGATCACTCATTCCTAGAAGAAGAAAAAAATCAAGAAGATGCAAGAAATTAATTTCAACTTTTAGAGGAAGCTCATAACAGAAACTGGTCATTATGTAGGTCAAGAAAAGGAATAATTCATGTAGACTAGGTGCATAAAAGGGCCTTCAGCATGTTCAGCAGTAAAATTGTAATTCATTACTAGTACTGACAGCACACTTACTGCCTTGTGGCCATGCGTGAGTTCCACTCAATGAAGACACTACAGGTTTTTGCACATTGCCTTGAAAACTGGTCACACGCATTCTAGCAACATTGTCGGCCTACCATTCACTGTCTCTCAAGCTGCCATACATGTACATATTTAGCAATTCGAGATACAAATGTTTTGTAACATTTTTACATGCGAATTAGCAATCAACTTCTCCACAACAAAGTTTATCTCGATGCTGGTAATTTTGTTCTTTAAAACATTATTTTATGGAGCAGTTTACCAGACTTAAGCTAGGTTCACACATTCACAAATTAGTTGTTAATACAACCAGAATAAACCAAGAATTGAAAACTGGTTCCCGAATCACCCTGACAATTTTGAACATGTTCAAATTCGTCGGGGCAATTCCCGATCTTTAACGATCTTTCACCGAGCAAACAGAATCATCCCAAGGCAGCCAAGAACCATTCCCCGATTTACTCAAGACTTAAAAAATTGGGAATGTGTGAACCTAGCATTAGGAGGACAAAATAGATGAAAGACAAAATCAAGACTCTTTGTCAGTCTTACCATTTGCATCCATGCCAAGAATGTCCCTTGCCTCAACCACTGTGACTTTGAGCATACACGCTGGGGGCTAAAAAAAAACATGCAGTTGACAAAATAATGGTTTAGCGACTGCAGATAGGAGTTGAAATGTGATGGGATGGGATAATCCAAGTAAAAGTACATGTTCACTGTCATAATTTTTGACATTTTAAGTCTAAAATTACATTCGTTATTACCTAAGACAGTTTACCCATTCATATTGGTCGAGAGCCTGTCACGTGGGTGAGTTTTAAATGGTTGATAAACACCGACTGGTTTTATCCCCTTTTTCCGGCACCACTGCTTTCTGCAACACACCGCGCAGTACGCGCACCAATCTCCATTTAAGGAGCTTTTTTTTAGTATTCCTCGTGCAACGCAAATATCATCAAATGAACATGCAAGTAATGTTACAAAATACATATACTGTTCAGTGAGTTGACATGTTGAGATTTGAAGGTTTGCATGGTGGAAAGATACTAAGACAAGATAAGTTTGCGGTAGCACCATGTGAATAAATCTCTTTTGTGAGTATGTGTGGTTCTGAAAAGAACCGGAGGGACTCAACGTTTCGAACAGTATGCTCTGCCCGTCGTCAGGAGAATGAGGGATTCCAACGATGATGCGATGTTATAAGGATGGGTGCGGTGAGGCGTGAGAAGGATGCTTCACCAGTTTGCATCCTTCTCAAGCCTCACCGCACCCATCCTTATGACATCGCATCATCGTTGGAATCCCTCATTCTCCTGACGACGGGCAGAACATACAGTTCGAAATGTTGAGTCCCTCCAGAGTTGACATGTACTCATCACTCTAATTAAGTTAGTCATATCAGTATTTAAATCATATTTACCTTATTACTCAGTTCATCTTGCATCATATCAACGTGGATCTCATTTGGGACATTAAAAACCTGGTAAAAAAAAAAGAGAGAAGCAATTTGACTCACACGTTGCATCAGAAAACGTTTTTATTTACGTTTATGTCTTGGTGTTTTTATACTGGTAGGTTAACAAATTTATATTGGCCTTGGATTCTGGCAAATTTGTTACAGGTACTGGTAAATTTATGACAAGTAAAGCAAATTTATCTTTTGTAAATAACTGATAAAATATGTCCAGGCTTTGGGTTATTACTTGACCAGAGTCTGGCACAGTTTACTCGTAAGGTGTCATGCTTATTTTTGTAACATTACAACTTTCCACTCTAGGTATCAAACACATAGCTGATTAAAAAAAAACATGATTTTCACATTTTTTTTCTATTTGACAAATTTAGTCACATCTTTGTTCTGTGTGCCACAACAAGGATTTACATGTAGCCTTACTTTTCTTTTGGTCTTAAAGGCATATACTATACCAGATCATTTGCATTTGTCCCAAAAGTAACCTACCAAATTATCATCTAGCTTACTCAGATTAAAGATTATACTGGTACTAAACACCCCGTGAAATTAGTCTATCTGGCTTGTGGTCATTCAGATGAAAACAAGAAATGTAGGTGATTTCCAACGATCAGTCAATTGACTGATTTTTGTAAATGAAGAGTGCTATGGACGAAATTGTGTTTCTTGATCAAAAGGTTGTGCATGGTTCTCACTATTTTCTCAAAAAGTGCAATATCCAGGGAGCTGAAGCTTCAACAGGTTAGGTTTTTAACTTTCTTCTTTGGAGTTTGAGTGGTGTTATTATTGAAATGCACAAAACACATGAAAAGCAAATCATCCTACAATGCCTTTAAATCCAATTTGGAGGGAACTAAATACATTCTGCCAATGAAATGTCGACCCCATATTGTAGTAGCGGAATGTTTACCTTTTGCAAATGTGCAGCCAACTGCAGAGGGTTTGCATTGCTGGCGTTTATTTTCCCAAGAGGATGGAGGAAGGTCTGCAACAACTTGGTGTAGAAATCCACAAACTAGAAAAGGAGAATTGGATTGTTGATTACTAATTACGGTCCCTTCAATGTTTACATCCGTGGCAACTCATAATTCTCTTCAAGGTTCAAAAATACAAACCCCTTTCAATGTCATGCCCAATTAGTTAAGCTGTATTCCATTCCAGGTCATTAAACTTGTGGCTAAGAAATGTCCCAGAGATGTGCATTTGGAATAGATGATGCTTCAAGTGAGAAATGCACTGTGTCGTACTATCATAAATTATACCATTTGGGAGACACTTTAGCATCAGAGGTTATACCTTTGGGAGACGTGGAATTAGGAAGACATTTCAATGTCTCCCTGTCAGCTCCCATTTAGAGGCAAAATTTTATCATCGCAAATAGGCTAGATCAATTCCTCGTGGTCCAGTTAGTAAAAAATACCAAGTTCGTTGGGGTAGGATAAGGCAAAATTGGGGTTAGGGGTCAGGAAAAATTGAGCAAGTTTTGTGCACAAGTCTATGGGAATGTCTCCCTATATTCCGGTTATTAGTATTATTATTTTTTAAATTTTTTTTATTATAAATATCTCTGAAGCGATGTTGGCAGCGTCATTTCTCTGGCAATTGAAATGTGAAATACGTTCATTCAAAAACTGATTTTATAACAAGTAAGGGGAAAATAAAATTAAAAAATCCGGTGTACAAAAAATTAACATGCTAATTAAAATTTAGAAACTAATGTTACTTTACCTCTGGTTTCAGAGCAGGTTTGTGGTTGCAGCCTGGCTCCATATTTGTTACCTGAAAAAATAAAAGAATTTTAAGTTGATTCTGAAAACACTGTAAAATGTATTTGTTAATGTCTATATTCAAAAATCTGCATCTCATAAACTTTGAAAAAAAAAGGTTCAGACAGAAACCATGTGTAGGCCTACAGTGAAGTGAATACAGTATTCAGCGCATAACTGCCAAAGTTTTAAAGCAAAAAACTTCACATATGACTTTGACTACTTTCTAAGAACTTCACATATGACTTTGACTTTGACTACTTTCTAAGAAAACACCTTCCGAAAATATATTTGACCAAACGCAATCTGAATGTTTTTTTTTTAAGTTTAAGCAATTAATTAAACTTGTATGGAAAGAATTCATACTACAGATTACTACTGAGTAGTATTTCGTAGCTTTAGGGGCTGTTAGGGTTTTAAAACAGAAAACTTAGCTTTTTCGATTTGATAACTTTTAAATGATTGAACATAAAACATCCTGATATATTCTGAAAGTGAGGTATAAACAAGTGGCATTTGTTACCAATTTCAAATTATTTCCAGTGCTAATTATCCACTTATTTGCCTGAATCTGAAAGAAGGAGCTTAACATACTTGGAAGACTTATACCAGCAGTAACAAGCAGCCCATTGTTAATTGGATCTCTTTAAAAACAAAATTAAGCACATCGTGGACATTGGGTACAAGACAGAAATTTGTTTTAAAAAATATCTGTATATTATGTATACAAGTAGTCAACTTCCGACTTCATTTTGGCCAGACGGTTTACTTTTGAGGGTACTAGGGCCTATGTCAAGAAAAAAAATAAGTAGGTCAACATGACTACATTATTGAGATAAAATTTTTGTGGTTTTATAACAACAGTGTGGTTCATCAGGGATCCTGTACTCCAAGAAAGAAGGTCCACATGTGGTTTTTTTGCGGTTTGAAACTATTTTCTTTAGTTACTGATATACTCTGGGTGACACCTCTAAAATAAGGTTACATAATGGTATGCATACATCATGTCTCAATAAGCAGGAAACTATTGATCATGACGAGGCATATTTCACATATACATCCTTGTTTAGTGAATTACTCATCGTAAAAAAAAGAATCGTAAAACAAATCTGGACTTGCCAGTCAAATTGGAACTAAAAAACGAGACAAAGGGACAAGCACGAACGTGTGAAATATTCCAACCGCTTTCATTTTGTGGTTAACACAGCTTTTCCCACACACACTGAAACGTCAGGACACACCAAGTTTCCGGTGAGCGAAGCCAGGGAATTACGCTTTCATTCAGCGGGGACAATCAAGTTGATCCATGCTAAACACGAGCAATTTACCGAGGAAGAATGACCAAGGTCGGGGCGATTTTCGTTTCTATTCAGCAGAAACGTCAAACTTGTTTTCCATCACGGGCTGTGTTGTTCGGAGGTCTGTTTGTTTAGCCCTTGCGGGGGCCTGTATGTAATTTCAGCCACTTTGCTTCACAGTGCATAGTAGAGCCCTGAAGTTCTTTTTTTTCCCCTATCTTCTATGTATAGGAAACTGAACGTGGACAGTTCCGAAGTTGGAAGTTATGCCGCATCAATGACTAAACGCATTCCAAACACCTCTCACCAGCGCATATTGTGTTTGAACTCACAAACATCAAAAAGGTTTTGACAACTTTGTAACGTCCATGGTGCCTATTTTTAGCACAACCTTGGCAGCAAATTTACACCTCAAATAAAGAGCAGTTTTGTTAAAAAATTCATGCATATTTGTTGTGCCTTGCGATAGTTCCTTAACTGTTTACCACATTTCTTGCCTGTCAAAATTGTGAAATATTTCAATCATCCCAGATAATATTACTGTTGGGCTCTTCATGTTTATTACATGCTTTCTTTGCTTTTGTGATAACCATGTACATGTACTTGTAAAGGGAAATCTTTTTTGCAGTTTTTTTTCTCCAAAAGCAAACTTTTTACAAAGAAATTTCTGCCACACAGCCAACCTCTATTCAGCACTTTTCAATTTTTCATTCCAGTTACACATAAACATGTGCACACACCGTGGCACGCAATTTCTTTCATAGGACATGAGGTGACAAGATGATCCATCAACCTATGCGCCATATAACTTTGTATAGCAATTTGGCACCGACTCAGGTTTTACCGCACAATGCACCCGTCCCTGCTGTTTCCATTAAAGTGGTCAATTTCAGTACTGCCGGGATTTACAACATTTTGGAGACGCATTCAATTATTCCAGTGTTTGTCAGTTGGAGGCTGAGACAAAAGTGACTGCATGCTCGGTTTGCCGCCAAAATTGCGCAACACGGCTTGGTTTGCCGCCAAATGTGCCTTGCCACCCATTTCTCATTGGCTGAAAATCATCTCATCGTGAATGGAATGCTGCAAACTTTTCTTGCTTGCCAATTGGCTAGAAATCCCGCGCTCTAATTGGTTTATTCTAGCCGTTAGGTATCGTGTATCCCAGCCGTGAGTATGGGCTTTGTGCACAAATATTGCCATGCAGAGGGACTGCTCGACTATCAGACATCTAAAACAGACCCAGTTGAATCGATATTCCTGCTTATAAACAATTTGATCATTTAAGTGATCAAATTTAAAATCATGGAGTGCATGCACTGTACAACAACAAAAACTTCACCCAAACTATTTTGTTGCAAGTGTCAAACCAAAAAATAAGCCAGTGTCATATTAGAGTCCATCACGAATCCACTCAAAAGTTAATCACTTACTTTCGGAAGTCCAGTCACAATTATTACAGGTCATGGAGAATAAGAAAGGTGTATTTTGTCACTCTTCGTTTAAACAAACTTTTGACTGACTTGCGAATGGAGGACTTGTGAGGACAGCTAAACAGCTCTACTACAACACTGCCAAAAGCAGTACAGGGTTTGACTTTAATGGTAGCCCGCTAGCCAAATGCTAGTCAAAACAAGGGAAGGCTAGTCAAACTATTCCTTAAGTAGCCCGGCTGGCAAATAAAAAATTATTGGGCTACGGCCAAGATGAAAGGACAGGAAGAAATAAATCATTAAATTCAGAAAGCAAACCTGTATCAATTTGTGTCTAATTTTATTAACTGTTTAGGGTTAAGTTATAAGATTTCTTTATTAAAACACTGACAATTAATATTGCCTCAGGATACACGTTATAGATGAATGGACATTGTTTATGAGACAACACCATAAAAGGAAAACTTGCGGGCTAGTAAAAATGCCCGCCGGTAAGTTAAGAGTCTGTTTTAGTAGCCCGGCTGGCTAGTGAATAAAGACGTTAAGGTCGAACCCTGCAATATTTGTTAATTTTGACTTACACAATCTGAATCTAACATTGAAAAGAATGTAACTTAGCATTTGAACATCTGTTATTTTGTCTGTCTTATTTAAACAAATAATACTGCAAATAAACAAGTTCGCGGAAAAATTTGGCTGAACTGCAATATTGAAACAGTGTTCAATATGTTCATTTCTGTGGGCATTTGAATTCAGCAAAAAGCACTAATAGCTGTCCATGGATGCACTGTCATGAATTTCAGCACTATCATACTATAAAGCGATTTCATTTCATTTCCGTTTTCCCGATTAACAAAAAGCTCTTGAATTGACAACACTTTCCATGCAATTCAGCACACACTTTACAATGATTAACAAGTGGAATGTCCACCAATGTACATGAAATCATAATCTTAAACATACCCAAATAGACATCCTTGTGGTGTGGCAAATTTCACACTGACTTGTAAGTTGTTCCCAAAACAACGAAGTGAAACACTGAAGACTAAAACACCACTATAATTACATCATCAGTGGAAATTTAACGTCACAATGAAACGACTGCCTGCGTGCACTGACATGACACAGGCTTGTGATCTCCTTGTCTGCTCGTAGTTAAGCAGAACCATACAATTCTTATCTCCACTTAATCTGCTGGTAGACACTCACCATACCATGGTTACTAACCAATACTCCAAAGTCAGCTGAATATTATAAAGACAGGCTAATACAGGACTTCAAATTTTACAGAAGCAACTGGTTTCCACAATTTGTTACATTAAAGGGAATATACATCATTTGCTTTTGCTGTAATTTTCAGAAATGGGTGGAATTGGGGGGTTGGAAATATAAAGCAAATATAGTTACACTAACTTTTTGGAGGTTTTGGGTTCGAAAATGCTATAAAAACCAAGAAAAACGATCATTTTCCTGTAGTCTGGTTCCCTGACTCCATATAAGAAGAAACAGAGCAGTTTACATACATTGGGGGAATTGTAAGGTCAGGGAACCAGTCTAGCTGGCTCGTACCCGTTTATAGGTTTGTAATCGATTGCAAACAAGTGCAATGGTCAATTGGGGCCAGTATTTGAAAAAAAGCCAGTTGTTTCCAACGCTGATCGGCCGATCAGCGTTGGAAATTGATACAAAAATACCACTTTTCTTGAAAATGACAGTATACCACGTGCCATAATTTTACAGGATGCTTTAGACTGTCATTTACCAACATCCTGTTAAGGTATTTCGCAAAAACTTGATAGTTTTATTTTTCGATGTTTGCAAATGTTGTATATTCCCTTTAACTAAATTATAGTGTGCAAGTTGATTGCTTGAAGTGAAAAAAATAAAAACCAAAAGCAACTCAGAACTCAGACACAGCTAAGAATTGCCTTACAAGTTACAACATATAGGCCCCCTATTCCATATCTTTGGAACAACTTAGCGAAGCCATAAAACTGGGCACTGTCTGTTTGTTGACTGGGGCAGATCATGGGATGGATTGAGGTTTATTCAATGACAATGACTAATGAAACGATCAGTTACAAGAGTGCCTGCACATGGCAAAATGTTCCGTGCTTGGAAGGCGGATATTGTATTATGAGGTATGACTAGTATGGGCCTGGAAAAGATGAGTCTTTGAAATGTACACAAAGAAACTTTGAAAGTGTGAGCTTGATAATGTCAGATAAAAAAAACACAGCCCAATATAAATCTACCGGTATAATGCCAACAACATAATTATT